TTGTAAGTGACAGCAGAAATTTACCCAACAGACCCTTTTAAATGCGGGTTTCATGAGTGCTTCCACTTTGTTCTTGCAGTTTGTTCTGAGCAGTGATGGAAAGCCCAGGCGGGGAGTTGCCTGGAACAAAAAAAGATTGATCTTTCAGCTTGTTCGCCTTTTTTTAGTATTTATTTGTGGAGTCCGATACATTTTCTTTCAAGTTGACATTCTGAAATGGACATTTCTTGTTTTAGTTGTATTGATTTTATTTTATGGTTGTTGTTGTTGTTTTTTTTTATTTGTATTTCATGCATCCTGTGAGCTTTGTTTTTAGTGTCTTTTATGTATTCATATATTGTTTTACTGTACAGCACTTTGGAGTCCACTTGGATTGTAAAGTGCTCTATAAATAAATTTTGATTTATTGATTCAAGTTGTTCACACATCCCCAAAACCTCCCATTCCGTGGTCCCTGCTGACAAAATTGTTTTCTTTGTTCTCCCTCAGAGGTTTCAGACGATGATAACAGCATAGCCTTGATGTACCAAACCATCAGTGACCTGCCGCAGCCCAACAGAGACACACTGGCTTTCTTAGTCCTTCACCTTAAGAGGTTAGCAGCTACTCTCCCCTAAATATGAGATAGAGAGATAGATATAGATAGAACCTAAAATACACTTTGGTTTGTATTGTTATCAAAGAAACATAATTTAATCTAATGAAATATTCCAGAGTTGCCAACAGTTTGGACACTAGGATGGACATCAGTAACTTGGCCCGAGTGTTTGGTCCAACTATCGTGGGTCATGCAGTCCCCAACCCTGACCCTATGACAATCCTGCAGGATACCAAACGACAACCTAAGGTAGGCTGGAACCATTGTGTGTGTTGTTGTTGCCTTCAGTGGTTAGTCATCTAATTTCCCTATATAGCAAACTTTAAAGATGTGGTTGATCGGGCAACACCCATTGTCGTAACAGCAACTGAGGTTAAGTATTAGAGGTCCCAGGATTCTGGGGGAGGCAAACACTCGCTGAGCAGCTACTTTGTCAGAAGCACAACAGTTTAGCTAAACAAACATGTTGTTTTGATGAAGAAGCCAGTGAATAACTGCCCCTTTTACAGAATTTCCCCTTGGGGATCAATAAAGTATTTCTGATTTTCCATCATGCCATGAGCAACCAGTATCTGATGTCATGCTGAGCACAGTAAAATCCCCTTGCTGAGAAGTTGTAGGTGCAGCCTGTCGCCTAGTTTACTGAGACCGCTCCTCCTTGTTCCATTACACAGTGCAAGATTTAAAACTGTCAAAAAGTCCAGAAATTGCTGTGTCCTGTTTTTGTGTGGCTGCTTCACATTAAAAGCCACCTCGTTTTTTTGCCAGTTGAATGCTTTAAGTGTGACTGCTTTAAACTAACTAATGTAATGTGGTCCTTGGGTGCTGCACAGTGGCTGCCCACTGCTCCCTTGAGGGTTGGGTTAAATGCAGAGAATCAATTTTGCTACTTGTATGTGAAAAATAAAGTACCTTAAAACACTGAGGCGGATATATAAGATAAAAATTCAAAGCCATAACAGTGGAGTACATCCATGCCTCGATTTATGTGTCTTGTTGCTGTTTAAGAAGGCGATTTGAAACCAGCGCATGAATGGCAGACTTGGCCATTAACAATGAAAACTACTGCTTAAAGAGGTAATTACAGAATGTAAATATAGTGGGAGGAAAATCTCAAATACTATAAAAAATGGGGGTTTATGTCATGAAAGTTTTAACGATTAGAACTTTCTTTCAAATCAAAATGTTTACCATGAGTCAAAAGTCGCAACGTCCAAATGATGATGCAGTATTTTCAAAGTTTCAAGTATTCTTTTACACAAATTAAAACAAAGGTCAGTATTCTTTATCACACTATGTAGCAAAAAAACGTCATTTTAATTGTGTAACTCAGTTTAATATAAGTGATGGACCTACATATGAGACCACAAAAAAGCTGTATACCATATAATACTACACATTAACATACACAATATTATCATAAATATTCCCCCTCTGTCTTGCCGAAGGCATGAACATAACTGGCTTGGCACCGTTGAAATATGATGAGGCAACACAGCGAAATAACCCCTGTCATTTTTACTAATCCCTTTCTGTTCAGGTTGTGGAGCGTCTCTTGGCTCTGCCGGTGGATTACTGGGCCCAGTTTGTGATGGCAGAAAACGAGCAGGCAAACTTGGATCACCTGATCATCGAGAACGCAAACTGCTATGCCACCCCTGAGAGAAGTACGAGCTTGCCAAACTTTGTGTGTTGTTTTTCAGTGCTTGTATGAGTCTGGGCACAGTTGTTTGCTGGTTTGACGTTTCATTGTAATGTCTGTACGTTGCAGTGAGCATGCTGGGACCTCTGACCACTCCAGAGCACCAGCTCAATAAAACCCCATCTTCCAGCTCATTGTCTCAGCGCATGAAGTCCACTCTGACACCCAGGTAAACCCACAAGGGTAGTCCCCTCCTTCCCTGCGTTAACACTGTTTTTCCAATCAGTGATCTCATGATTAATAGCCTCTAGATGACTAATGTGTACTGCTGGTTCAGGAAAGCTATGCAGTTTGTTTCTTTTCAGCTTTAGAGAAAAGCTGGCTCCTTTTTGACCATCTTTAACAGAAGTTAATCTACTGTACAAAACTCATTATCCTTCATTGACTTTGTTGACTTTTAACTCCTAATTCCATTAAGTGTCGGTATGCGTGCTCTGTTTTTGCAGATTTGGGAGCAAGAGCAAATCAGCAGTTGGATTTTCTCGCCAAGGAAAATTCTTTGCTTCTCCACTCCTCAAATAATCCAAAGCGGCTCCATTTAACAATGTATTCCTACTGCAATAACAACCAAAACTTTTTTGTATTTAGGCATAACTCATAGCATGGTACTGCTTTTATAATGGCTGTAAATGCTATAAATCTTAGTCTTCTTTCATATAATCATTTTAACATTTCACAATGGTAACAGTTGTATTTTGATTATTTTACGTGTTTGTCGTAGGAGTTATTTTTTTTAAAACCAAAAAATAGGTTTTCCTATCTATGCACACTTGTGTCTGTAGAGCTGATGTTTTTGCTAAATGTTTAACAAGACATTCTCATTTTGCCTCATAACACATTAGATGTGCTGTATAGTATTCTTCTCAAATAATGTGCGTATAGTTGAAAATATGTATATTCACTGTTTTATTGTGACCTGCTTCTAAATTTAATTTCTTTTGACAGTTTTTCAACTCATGTGTCACTCAGAAGTTGAAGAACTGACCTTAGTCATTTTGTTTTAGGTTGTAATTTAGTGTGACTGCTAGTAACATTTTAGTTTTAATGTTCATGTTTCATTTCTGTTTAGTTTTAATTGTCTTCATCCCCCACTGAATTGTGCTCTAAATGTTTACAATCACACATGCCCTATCCTTTTCGTACTGTAACTACAAACTGTAGTTCTCAGGTCTCAAAGCAGACCTTTTTCATCTGGAAGATCTGCTCATGAGCAATCCCATGCAGAAAGCATCGACTTTGTAAGGTTAGCCAGTTCACTTACTGTGGCATTATTAACTATAGCACAAAATTTGTACACAAACACACACTCTAAAATGTATGTAACTTATAAAATACATTTCTAACCTTTACAAAATTGTCTTGTGTGACTTCTGTTAAATGTTTAGTGCCATGTCCTGGCTTTTTGAATCCAGGTCAACACACACTTGAATACCCTGTGGATGCATCTATTTGTTATAGTGCTCTCTCTCTCACATATACGTGTGTGTCAAAATCAACTCTCACAATAGTGCAAAGGCAACTACTCTTGTCCAAGACTTCAGCTCTTACTGGCAGGTTGGGAATCCTAGGCACTTAACCTCTGTAGATTAGAGAGTGGTTCTCAATTTACATATCACCAAATCATAACAGACTATAAATTAAAATGATAACAATAGTAGTAAAATTAGGACTAATTGTATTGTAATAGGTGGTGCAGTGGTTAGCACTGTTGCCTCAAAGCATGAAGGTCATGGGTTCAAACCCCGGCCTTTCTGTGTGGAGTTTGCATGTTTTCTCCGGGTGCTCCGGCTTCCTCCCACCATCCAAAGACATGCAAGCTAGGTTAATTGGTGTCTCTAAAGAATTAGGTGTGAGTTTGTCTATGTGTGGCCCTGCGATGGACTGGCGACCTGATGTACCTCGCCTTTCGGGTGGCGGTGGATGGATAATTGTAATAGCGGGTGTTGAGCCAGAACATGGCTCCAAACCTGCAGAAAGTGACAGGAGACAAGAAAGGACAACACTGGGAGAGTAAAGATGTTGGGTAAGTAACATGCATTCATGGGATGAGAATGTATTTAGAGTGGAGGAGCTCAGAGCATCATGGGAAGCCTCCCGGTAGTCTTGGGTCTAGAGCAGCATAACAAAGGGATGGCAGGCTCACTCTTAAATGTGGAGATCCAGGAGGTTCCACAGGTGGTAACTAAATGTATAAGATATTCTATTTTTGACTCTAGGAACCACAAGTAACCTTCAATTCTGGGAGCACAGTGTTTTAGTGGGGTAATAGGGTACTATGAGCTCTGAGGTGGCTGATTTGTCAAGTCGAGTTGTGAATGGGTCTTGGCAAAGGTTGTTAATAACTTTTTAAATGTTGGGTTATGCTAGAAAAAAATGCTTGTGTGTTGTGTTGACCACGTACACTGGAAAGCAAAAGTAAAGTGTTAATCACTGTTCTGAACAGTACACACTTAAATGAGGGGTAAAAAGCTGACTGAGAGGGAGGAGAAAGGATACTGTTTAAATTTGGGAATAACAGCACACACAGTCTCTCCAGGAAAGCATTCATACTGCTGTAAATGGTTGTACACACAAAGTGACAGAAATAATTGTGTAGCAAAATGAACGAAGACATTGAGAGAGAAGTTCAAAGCCTAACTTCTTTAACAACTCAACAAAGCTCGCCAATTCCCCGAGTGAAGTAGATGTAAATCACAACAATTGTCAGACACAGGTTTTAATGAAGGAAACCGGCAGCTTTAGCGGTGTCTCCTCGGTTGTTTAAGTTTGACACAGATGGCCTTGACTAGAATGCCCCTATTAGCTCTCAATTATGACATGCCACAAAGATCTTACAGAGAAGGCTATTATGTAAAGGTTAGGTATGATTAACTAATTAATTTCACAAAATAACAAGATTTAAATTACAACTGCACACTAATTTAAAAATTTTCAAAAGACTTGAATGTGTATACCTTCTTTGTGTGGAGGTGATTGTTATTAACAATTGAGAAAATGTTAAAACATTATAACAAATATGTAACATCAACATTTTGGCAATGGCCAGAGAAGAGGAGTGTTCCTGATGTACTCCTGGAAGGCTGGGTCAGATCCCCACTTCTTCATGGCTTGCTTCTCCAGGATGGGGATGCCGCTGACGTAACGTAGCAGGAACCACACGAAGAGAGGCGACACCAAACTCAGGTACTGGGGTCCCTGCATCACTGATGAGGCTGAAAGCCAGAGACCCGACCACTGCAGGATCTCTCCAAAATAGTTCGGGTGTCTGCTGTAGGCCCATAGTCCACTCTGGATAAACTTCCCCTGGTGGCACAAATTTGAAAATACAATCAGGGAATGAGGTATTAATGCAGTTTTGGGTTACACAACACAGCGTCCATTAACTTACAGCATTATCTGGGTCACTCTTGAAAAGCCATTTCTGCTGGTCAGCAATAGCCTCAGTAGCGAAGCCAAGACCCCATACAGCCCAGCCAATACCGTCCCTCGCTCCCAGAGGCACACCATGCTTCTCACTGTTCAGCATGAGGGTTGGCAGGAGGGTCATAAATATCCACAAGGCTTAGAGAAATAGGAAGAAATTAATCATCTTCAACCAACCTTAATACATTGATGAAAAAAATGCATATAACTTGCTGTAGCCAACAGATCCCACCTACAATAACTGCATATATAAAGAGCTAGAAACATTCAACTAGACAGTGATTTATACAAGGCGACCCTCCCTTCAGTTGCGTGTTGAGTTGGTCAAGGATTATGGCAAGAAGAGGAAGGCATTTACATCACTTCCAAGTACCTTGAATAGTCCAATATACAAAGAAAGTCCCAGGGCTATCTCTGACATTGTTGAACCTGCGATCATGACCGTCCTTCAAAATCCGCATGAAGAGGAATGTCCCCAGCCTGCAGAAAGAACACGGTTAACGTCCGTTCACATTAACCAAGGCAGTATTCATTAACCTGAGGTTGCACATTTATTAGTTCCAAGGACTGTCCATAAGTTCACTTACACAAAACTCTGCAGGCTTTAATGCAAGAGGATTTCATCTGTGGGAGTTTTATTCAACTGTGCAGGGGTATCACTGGGTGTATATCAATGGGGGTTACTGCTGCATCACTTACCTGAGTCCCCATGCTGTCACCAACCCGGTCTGTACCTTCTGACGGACGTGACTGGCTCCTCCCCAGATACGACTCAGGTGAGCAAGTAGTATAAAAGTGCCAGATCCTGGAAAAAAAGACAGCAGAGTGAGACAAGCTACAGACTCAGGGCGGCTGGGATGTGGGTATGGCGAATTGCTCTACTTGTTGCAGAGTAAGGCGTGTCCAATAAATCTTTTACCCAGGATACTGCAGACAATTGGTTCCAAAGTTCAAGGGTAAGATATCTAGGAGCACAGCGCGAAGGGGAGAACCAGAAGAGGACGAGTAGAAGGAGAAGTGTCAAGGTGAATCATTTGTGAAATTATAAAGAAATCGTTGGTGTTGACAGGTAAGCTACACTGTTATACATGTAACAAATGATTTGATAACTGTCCACATTTAAGCCTCCAGGCACCTGACAGACTGAATTAATTCTCTAACTTCGTCATTGGTCGGATACTTAACTTTTTATGCTCAGAACTTGTCAGTAATGTCAATCCCCTTATTAAAACTCACAGTCTAATTAGGGTAAAAAATGAAGATACAGGGATTAACTCATTATCGGTTATTTTTGCAAAATTGCCTATTGAATGGTGAAAAATGTTGATGTCACTTTCCTAAGTCGAAGGCGACACCTCCCTGTTGCTCGTCTTGACATTCAGTTTACTATCATTAGACAAAAAAGCAGAATATCCTCACAATTGAGAAGCTGAAACTGGAATTTTAGGCATGATACACAATTATCAACCAGCTAATTATTTAATAGTCTAATTGTTTCAGCTCTAAAGGGCACAAGTAAATTAAGAATTTAATCCAAACATAAGGTAATTCTTATCTGATTAATGTTATTGAAAAGTGCTCTACAAATAAAGATTATTATTATATTATTATTATTGAAATGACATAATTAACTTTCTATTGCTGTTTTAAAGGTTGTTCAGGTAGTTTGAACTGGAGGTAAAATTATTGCAAAAGTGAGTCCAGGTAGCAGCAATCACTAGTGGGGATATGGGCTGTGTTGATTCTTTATTGGGACACACAAGAAGCCCCCTTTCTGGTTTAAAAAGAGAGTCCCAAGATTCCTCTTCCTTCCTCCACATGACAATTAAGTCAAGCTGACTGGATCTATGTGCCGCTTCTTAAGAGGAAGGAGGAGCTTTCTGGCTGTTTCACAACAAACTATTTTAGGTAACACAGATTTCATAATAGTGACTATCAATATCTGAGTGCAGGGTAAGAACTACATGAGATTAAATAAGACATACACAGCTGATTTACATGTATGTTAAGTAACCTCTTTTCTCGCTTAAATGTTGATTCGAGTTTACAATAATTGCGCTGAATAACAAATCAGGCTGCAAAACAGTCAGCACATAGCTCCAAATTAACACTCTGGACATGAATGATGATGTTCGGCAATTTCCCCACATTAACTTACCTGCCAAGTCGTAAAACTTCTCGGTTTTGAAAGCTGCAGCCAGAGCCCAGCCGGCCCACTGGATGCCCAGGTCGGTGGCGGCACATTTGACCAGAGTGCTCCCCATGATTATGTCAGTGGGTCGGCGAGCAGCGAAGGAATCTGATCATTTGTCTCATTCCTCAGACAACCGAAGAAAACTCTCAGGTTAAAGTTCACCGCTGCCATACTACTAATGGGAGTGGCATGGCCGCAGGGAACTCTGGGTATTGTAGTTATCTGACGAACAGACCAGTTTAAGGACATAACATGAGTGCAGAGAAATAGAGAGAAAAAAGAAAGAAAGAATTAGAAGTACGTACGTTAATATATAGGTTAATTAAGTATTTTTACCTAGTGTTTTCTGTATTAATCATAATGTATAAAAACGTTATTAATATAGAAATATGATGTAGTACATTATGTAATAAGTCAGTATAACATGTTAATAGTAGGCTATGGCATATAAAATACGATGTAATTTGAAATGTAGTAATATAGTACGGCATTATAGCATAGAATATAAAATATAATATAATTTATAATAAATATAGTATCATATATGATAAAATATAATGAATATTATGTTTTAAATGTTATATCACATTTCTACTTTACTTCTGGAGGAAGTAAAAATACTACACTGAAAATACTAAATAAAACTCATACTTTACAAATGTTACTTAAGTAAAAGTATGTAAGTATTATTATTGGAAAAATATACTCAAGTAAAACTACAAAGAAAAAAAAAACAGCCCCTGTGAGTGTTATGGTGTTAAATAAAATATTGGATTGAATAAGTGTAAATTGCATTTCATTGTTGTAGTTGGTTGAGGTGCTCATTTTAAAGTTTTATATACTATTATCAGGTTATTTAATCTCTTAAAGAATGTACTGTCATTTATGAGATTATAATGTGTTATGCGTATAAAATCTTAATCTGAAAAATAACAATAACTAAAGTCAAATAAATGTAGTGGTGGTAAAAGTACCATATCTTCCTCTAAATCTAGTGGAGTATAAAGTTGCATGAAATGTGGAAATACTGGAATACTGGAAGTTAAGTACAAGTATACTTAAATTTGTATTCAAGTATACAGTACTCTATTCAACAGTATGGTGGTTAGTCATAGGGCTATTCCGCTGCATAATGAGTACTTATATTTAACACATTACATACACTTTTCTGATTATATTGTCAACTTTTACTTGGGAAAAACTTTGAATGCAGAACTTTTATGAGTAATGGAGTATTTTTATATTGTGGTATTACTTGAGTAAAGTATCTAAATACTTTTCCCCCGTTACTGCTAAGAAGATTCAGAGGGCACAGCAAAATAAAGACTTCTCTCGCTGCTCTGCTTACTGAGGTGAATAGAGAGGTTGTTCGAACATGCTTCACTTTCCCCATTTTTTCTGCCTCATCTAATACATTTAAATACTCTTATATACATATATAGGCTAAGAAGTAATAAAACAGATTAGAATCATTTGTCATGGATCTAAGGTAGAACCAAAAAGCAGACTCTAGATAGGCAGGTGGGTGGAAAATAAGTTTTTAATTTAGAAGACCAAAAGAAAGGGGAACTGGTGGCTGGCTGAAGTTTGGGTTAGGGCGAGGGAAGGTTTGCAGAAAAGCAAGATCCTGGGAATGAGAGCTGGCAGCTGGCTTAGAAAAACTGGTGTGGAGATCTGGAAGACAGGTGATCCTGGAGACAGAGGGAGGTGTAAGTAACTCTGGCAGATTGACAGGCAAGCAAACAAACGAGCCAGTATAAACTGGCTAACTAGACTGTTCACTGAACTGAGGCACATAAACATACTGTAACATAGACAATGATCCGGCAGGGACCGGATGTCAACACAGGGCTCTTATAGGGGTGAAGTGAGGACTTGATAACAGATGGTATGCTTGATTGAAGATGATGGGCAGGTGTGCAGTGAGACCAAAAGAGAAAGGGGGGAAGGGAAAAAGCAGACAGACAGACAAAACCAAAACCCACCAAGCACACCTCTCACACACTAAAAGGTAGAAAACAACAAAAACACACTCATTCAAGCTTTAATACAAGATAATATAAAATAACAGAAGATTATATATATATATATATATATATATGTACTACTACGTGTACTATTATAGAATAATCATGGTAATACTAATAATAATTGATATGTAACCTAGGACAAGGTGCAGGTGTGTTGCTTGTTTCAATGTGCAACATTAAAGCCAAATAATGGTCTAAAGATATTGTTATCCATATCCAGAAGTCACTATTGAGAGCTCTGGGGGTTGTCTTAACTTTGTTAAGATAAATAAATATAATCCAAATATTGAAATTACTTCCAAGAAATTACTTCTGTGTTTCCTGTCAACATTAGGAATAAACACAATCAAGACAAAATATGGCCGAGGGTAACAGTCCAAAAGGCAGCTCTGGTGACTTTGCTAAAAAAGTCCAAAGACAGCTGAGCAGAAGCAAAGAAAAGGTAACGATATGCAAATGTTTGTTTGAAATAACTTATTACCATTTAGTTGCTGTTGCTTTGAGATTTGTGCTTTTTCTGCAGGTACTGCAAAAGCTGGGGAAGACAGTGGAGAGCAGAGATGACCAATTTGAACACTGTCTCCAACAATTTAATGACCAGCAGGTAATCATACCCCTGCTTAAAGAGAAACTAAGAAGTATGGATTATTTTTGTGTGTGTTTATTCTGGACAGTAAAATAGACTTTAATGTTTAAACTGATGAAAAAATGACTTTCAGTTCAAAACAAATAAATTCCCACTGCTGTATCACCATGTTTTTTACGGAATATGGAAACACTAGGATGATTTATTGGCTATTCTCAGTGAATCAACCAGCATAAAAGTAAAGTAAATCTAAAGACTGACAAAATGCAAACCTCTTGTCTATTTGCAGAGTGATGGGAACCGAATGCACAAGGACCTGAGGATATACATTAATGCAGTTAGAGGTGAAAATGCTTTTTTGCTTGCAGATGCTGAAGAACTGTAGATTTGTGTCCTCTGCAGGTCTCATATAGACGATTCTGCTTTTTACAGACATGCGTGAAGCTTCAAGACGCCTTTCCCAGTCTCTGTTTGATGCCTATGAAACAGACTGGGCTGGAGAGGAAGATTTAGGAGGCATTGTAGAGGTCAGTATGGTCTTCAGTTATAGTGTAATACCCAGAGCAGCTATAGCTCTACCATGGCACATTTTTGTTTTACAAGAGCAACAAGATTCACACATTGTCAGGAGACCAAAACCTGTTCTTTTTCCCTCTCTTTATACATATTTAATGCAATGTTTGTGCTGCGCCTTTTAATAAGGGGGAGGACCTCCTGTGGAATGACTATGAGGTGAAGCTATTAGACCAGGCCATACGCACCATGGAGTCCTATGTGAGCCAATTCCCAGATGTGAGGGTAAGACAATACGAAGCAAGTATGCAAGCAAACAGAAGACAGACAAAAGGCCTCAAAGCAAACACAAAAACCAACAAAGACACAAATAGTTCCCTCACAAACACACACACACACACACACACACACACACACACACACACACACACACACACGCACACACGCACACATCTGGATATTTTGTCTTTTTCAATCTGTAGGAGAAAATAGCAAAGAGGGGAAGAAAACTGGTCGACTACGACTCTTCCCTCCACCACCTGGAGGCACTGCAGACTGCTAAGAAGAGGGATGATGTCAAGATAACCAAGGTGATCAATAATGACATATATTTTTCAGTGTTTACTGTGTATGTCTACTTTCATTTGTTTAAAAATGCACTTTACATCCATAAAATGTTTCACTCTGCAGGCAGAAGAAGAGATGAACGCTGCCAAACGTGTCTATGAAAGCATCAACAATGAGTTAAAAGAAGAGCTGCCTGTGCTCTATGAAAGGTCTGATAGATTATTTTCTAATATATAAAATGTGAGGGTATACACATTTTTTACATTATGTTTTTGATATCTTTCCTTTTTAGCCGTATTGGATGCTACATTTCAGTCTTCTCTGCTGTATCAAATTTACGAGAAATCTTCTATAAGGAATTGAGCACGGTATGTTTTGCTCTGTGTTGTCTGGGCATCTAAAGTCAGTCGGCACACAATAGTAATTGTCAATAAATATTTGTGTGTTTTTTACCAGTCCTCTTCTGTTTTAGCTCAACCTTGATCTATACAGTGTGATAAAGGAGCTGCAGGCTCAGCACCCGGACAAAGTGTTTGCTGTGAAGGGAATGCAGCGGTAAGTTCTTTTTAGCTTTGAATTTTGAAGACATTTTGTTTTAATGGTTGGCAGTTCAGTACTGGATTAGTTCACAAAATTAAACAATCTGCTCAAGATAGTTGAAGCTCTACTAAACTTGTCAGATCACAAAACTAATTATAAGAATTTTTACGCTATTATTCCACATGTTTTGTGTTCAAGCTGTATGTCCAAAGCTACAATATTGACTATATTTGTTATATTTTCTGACAGTATTGGTTGCTGTCCATCCCACAGTATTTCCAATTAACTCTTTTGAGATGAATACATTTAATAAGTTTATGTCTGTAATTGGGGATAGGAGAAAAATATTCAAACTTGTTGTTAGTCTGATATCTGATTGCAAAATATTTCAGGTATGGCTCCCTGAAGAGAAGAACTCTGATGTCCCCTAAGGCCTGGAAAGCCAGCTTCTCTGAGTTTCACAAGAGCTATAATCCTAATCCTAGCCAGAGATTCAGTTTCAGGTCCCCAGACAAACCTCGCCACAGCAGTCTGTCTAGAGAGAGCAGCACCCTTGCAGTCTCCCCAAAATCACCTATTCTGGAGAGCCCCTCCGCAGAGGCCAGGGACCTGGATGCAGGATCGAGCCACAGTGAAATCCACAGTTCTCCTGAGAAAGAAGACGCTGCAGCGGGGGCGTCTGTAAACGAGCTGAAGTCGGGCGAAGACAGCAATCAGGTGGAGGCGGAAAAGGCCATGGAGGAAGAGGAGTCTGAGCCTAAGCCTCCTGCAGAGTCTGATAATAAGGGAGACGGTAAAAAGGCTCCACCAAGTGAGAGCAGCTCTGAACTGAACAACTCCTGTGATTCAGAAAGCTTGGAGCTCCAGCTGTCTGCAGCAGGCGACAGCCCGCTGCACATTGAAGAAAGAGAAGGCAGCCCGGTACACCTTGACACTTCTAAACCAAATGGACTGGAGAAAAGTGAGATGTCTGGGTTTAACTCTGACACTAAGGACCTGAGCATTCATTACAAGGTTTGTCATTTGATTAGTACGCAGTTGAGGACTGATGATGCAGACCTCCTCTATGTATTTACTGTTTTTTTCACCTATTTTATCATTACTTCCCTCTTTTCTTTGTGTCTCATCTAGGATGTAGTTTTGGCAGAAAAACAGGCATCAGTGGACTCAAAAAGTACAGTGGTTTAAAGTATTCATACTTTAATGTGAGGTTTGTATGTTTTTAATGCACACAATCCACATATTCAGTCACATATTATCAACCTCCTTATTCCCTTCTATCTTGTTTCTGTATTTGACTCAGCTTTTCATAAATCCCCGTCTGCCTTGTGTTGATTTAGACAGAGAACAGAAGGGATTGAAGTCAACAGCTGCACAAGAGAAAAAATGTGGAGACAGCTGCACTGAAGTGTCCAACTGTGCTGTCATGAATGATGTATATGACTTGTTGGTGTTAGTTTTCTTATTTATCTGTTATTGAAATCCACTGTACATACAGGTCACAGCCGGGGTAAAGCTTCATCTGTTATATTTTTGTAAAAGCTTAATTATCCATTCAAAAGAGATACATTACTGCAGGATGATTTTTTTCTATTTTGAACTGGATTTTATCTCACAGATGCCATTGTATTCTGCACCAAACAGTTACAGTTTCAAATACGAGTTGTTGTTTTAGGTGCCCAAACATAATGCAGTAATAGGTTTACATTGTTAGAAAACGTTCTTACTATGTATGGTCACTGCTGTTTGCAGATGTACTGCACTGTGATTTTAAAAGGACCTGAGCTAAACTCCACTCTCCACTGTCTAAAATACTTGGAAATGAATTTTTAAGTAATTTCTTTTCTTTTTATTCACTTTTTAATCAGTTTTGTTGGCAGGGAATCAGCTGCGATTCATTTTTTTAATTTCATTTTTCATTTTAGTTTGAATTAAAGTCACAAAACTGCAATCTGTTAATTCGGTATGCACTGTGAAGATCAATCATTGCTTAACTATGAACAGTGATCTTTTTTTGTATCACATTTACATTAAGATAAATAAATAAAAATTTTCTTGTGTCAATAGCTGCTGTTTGCTTCTCTGCCAATGGCATAGGGACAAAAAACAACGACCTCTTACTCAGCCCAGATTTCTCAGCTAACTTTATAGTGAACCAAACATAACTTATAATGATAAGAGATTTGACTTTCTAGTTTACTACATTTAAAAGTGAAAATTCCCCCCGACCCCACCCAAAAACTTAGTTGTATTTCAGAGCTAAAATATTGTGAATAACTGAATTTTAAAAACAACACTTCAAAAACACTTTTCTGCAAAATCATTTGGATTATTAGGAAGGAGGAAAGGAAGGAAAGCTTTGTATTATGACTGGGCAATATCAATATATATCCATGCGTCATCCTAATGGGATAGCTGTGAATAAGTGAATTACCAGCAAGACTTCTGCAGACTAATGGAAGTATTGGCTTGTTGTGGCTGATTCCAAATAGAAAATGAAGTGCACTGTCTCTGATAATTAAAAAACTGAAATCAGAGTTTTTTCTTATACTTTTATACGTTTTTACTTTACTTTATAAGATCTCCTGTACTAGTTGTAGTTCGATTATCAGCTAACAGAGATTCAACATCATATCTGAGGCATGCTGGCACAGCCAAATGGGGTACATCAAATGAAAGTTGTCTTATGGAAACTGCTTAACCCATACGAACTAAAAGTCAGTATATCTCTGCCTCTGCTGCACAGATTCTGTTTTAAATCTGTCACTCTCAAGTCCTTCAACTTTATGTAAGTGGAACACTAAATTGCTGAAGTACAGGTAACCTTTAACATTCAGTTTAATTCATTTGAATACAACCTGATCAATTTTAAAAGAAAATATACTAATCAAGATATTTACTTCAACCAGAATGATCAGTCAATTTAGGCAACTATTTTGATAATTACTTAACTGTTTTAAGTCATTATTACCGGGTTGGTGATGGAACAGTGGTTAAGACACATCTTCTTATGGGAGATATAGGTTGACAAACAAAGACTGATCTTATCTTATCTTGCTCCAGAGGTGTGTGACCTCTGATATAGCAATTGTAAGTTGCTTTGGATAAAAGCATCAGTTAAATTAGTCAAATATGTCACTGGTTTTAGCTTCTCAAATGTGAATGTTTGCTGGGTTTCTCAGTCTTCTATGATATTAACAAAAAATATTTAGGGGTTTGGACTGTTGGTCGAATAAAACAAGCAATTTGGGCTTTCTTTCTTTTTATTTAGGCTATATTTTCTCACGTTTGAAAGACCAAAAGATCAATTGAGAAAATGATGATGGGAAATTAATTAACAATGAAAATCATTTGTATCCTTTCTGTAGAATGGACAATCAAAATGATCAAATGCCCCCAAAAAAAACTTATAAAAAAAGACTTCATACCAACAGTGGAGTTCCATATTTTTGAAATCAGGAGTGATACATCTTGCTAATAGACGATCTTTGACATGGCGAGAGGGGGGAGGAAGGGGAGGAAAGGGAGGGGCGGAAATCGAGAGCGTGTGCTCAGCTGCATGACTCACAAGGGCTGGGAGAAGAAGTATAGCGACTTACTGTATTTCACAGACGCAGTTTCAGACGCCTCGCACACAGCTTGAATTTCAAACTTTAAGTTCGCTGTGTGCTTTCGTTTCCTCCACCTTAGTTGTTAGCTTTGGGGAAAGTCGGCTTGCACAGCTAGTGAGGTTTGTGTCACGTCTCCGCTGCGCACAGGTAAGCTCCCACGACAGATGACATGAATGTGTGATTGTTAAGTGTCTGAGAAACATTAACACTTTACCTGAAAATGTCGCTCACTCCTAGTTTTTCCTTCCACGGGACGACTTTGTGTCAGGCTAGCTGACTTAATGAGGACGAAGAAAAAGCTTTGTCTGCCTTTTAAAAGTTTGGTGCAAGTTACTTAGTAGACAAAGAGAGTCAGCCGAGTAGTATGTCGGAAACAATGGTGGGGAAAGTTGTTGACCGTCTATCTGAGTTAAATAAATCATATCCAACATTAATGACTCACTTGGTAACTAGAAGATTGCGGAAATGTTAGTGAGACATGTGGTTTATTGGTGTTTGTTTGTTTCTTACAGGTAGCCAGTCAGCCATGAATAGTAAGTCCACCTTGTAATCAGTTTGAATGAAATGCCTATTTGTAGCATTGCAAATGTCTTTCCTCTTATTTTTTGGCACTTCTGACACATTTGGTTCTTGTATTTTAAAAAGAACGTGTTCCTGACGATTGATTAATTAACCAAATATCTTACTAGACTCTTTACTTGTGTAAAAGTAGCAATACTACACTACATTACAAGTACAAAAGTATTATCAGCAATAGAGCTACAATGCTTGGTCGATTAATCAATTAATCTCTTATTAACAATTTTATGATATGATGTATTGTCATAGATAAGCTCCTCCTCCTCCACCAGATATAACAATACATGTCAGTAATAATAATATAAGTCTTTCTTGGGGAACTCTGCTGCCTAAATAGGTACTTTTACTTACTTTTAAGTACATTTTGTTGATCATAGCTACAAGTAAAGGTTATTTTCATTATAAATTATATCTGCAGATTTTTGGTCTATAGAACATGAGAAAACAATGGAAAATGCCCATTGCAACATCAAAGAGCCTGTACGTTCAAGACCACCGAGGTAAAGTTCAAGCTGAGGCGAATTCAAGGAGATGACTGCAGACGGACGAAATACGAAGACCATCATCACTCTTGTATATTACTCTAGTCACTCTAGTATTGTGTGATCAGTAAAAACGTGAAATGATCACGTTTGAGAGTCTTGAACCAAAGAATGTTTGGCATTTTTGCTTAAAAATGTACCCTATGTTGTTTGATTAATCAACCAATCTTGCAGCTCTATTGCTAATAATACTTTTTTGTATTTTATTTTTAATTTTAAAATGCAGGACTTTCACTTGTAATGGAGTGTTTCATAGTGCTGTATTCCTACTTTTACTCAAGTAAAAGATCTCTGCACTTCTGCCCACTGGTGTGTTCTCTGATTAAGTCATTGCATCACAGAGGACTCAGAAATAAATAAGAGGTTGACAGGTTTTGTTTCAGTCCCAGCGTTTTAATAATCAGATTATTGTGTCACAACGCTTAATATTCCCTCCTCAGCCAGCAGCTATGCAGTTACACAAGTCGCTTCTAGTAGACTATGCTGAAGCCAGAACCCTGTGACATTTTTAACATGCTGTGACATATCTTCCAGATTCAGGCATCATGGTGTCTTCGACGACACTCTCCACATATGCAAACAGAACTGTGACAGAGGGTGAGTATACTGTTGTTTTTAAGGTCTGTTACGAATGTACTCACTTGGCTTTAAAGGCTGCAACTTGCAGCCAAGAAGTATCCTGTTATCATAACCTTTTAATAGTTTGTGCTGCTTTATTAACGCATGTCGTGCGTGTGTTTTGTTCAGTATCAGATATGGGGGCTTTAACATCACTTCCCACACAAGCAGACACGACCATGATTCAGGGTAACTCCTACACTTATTAAAATATATTTTTCTATTACTGGCACACAAACTGGTCTCCTCCTGGACCCACACAGTTGAGAGACGCGGCACAATTTACTTCCTGTATCCTGTAATCTCATAACCTTTCTCCCATGTCTGTTATGTGTCACCAAACATCTTTGTTTTAAAAAAAATGTTTTTCCCCTTAGTGGTAACAGCAGCCCCCACAGGTCCAGACTCTGCAGTTATTGCAGGTAACGGTTTTCCCTTTTAATCGTTACATTATAAAGGCATGTTTTAAAATAGTATTTTGAAAAGAGCCTTATTTTTCCAGTGGTTGTTGCTCTCATCCTGATGACGATAGCTGGTTTAGCCTTCCTGCTTTACCGGTATCTCTGCCACAACAAAGGAGACTACAGGACGACAGGGGAGCTGGCTCCAGGAGAGGATCCCGATGAGGAGTACAGTAACCAGGCTGTGAGCGAAAAGAAGGAATACTTCATATGAACCCTGCGAAGACTTACAGGGAGTGAGTGGAGCTTACAAAAGAAAAGGGTCTGTGGAAGACTGAGAAGAACTAGGATAGTTTTTGTGTTTTTTTCTCCCCTGCATCTGTGTCTCAAGGGAAGGCCGCTACTTGCTGCACATGGGGCAGACAAGAACCTTTAAGATTATGTTACAACAATTATAGAAGCGCACAGGCAATACCAAAGATGAGATTATTATAATAAGAGTGAATATTGCTGGACGAGGAACGGTTGTCAGAGAACACTTGTGTTCAAATTAGCTTAGATAAACACGAAACAGGTGTTAGGATTTCAAAAGGTCTCAGTATCATGATCAGTAAATTCACTAACAATCAATGTAAGATTAGCTTCTGTGCTATATTATTTATCATTTGTGATATTGTTTCTTTCAAACATACTGTACCTAATGGGGACAGTCCCTTTTACATTGAGTTGCTTTTAAATTGTGTTTCTGTGCTGTTCTTTTATAAGCTAGTCAAAAATGGTCAAAATAGGTCAGCTCAACATTGTTGTTTTTGATTGTGTTGGACATGGTTTGTTTTGTATTAGAAAGACATGGTTACTGATGACTTCCCTATTTGAGATAAATACGGAAGGCAATAAAACTTGTTTTTGGACTAATGTCTCTATACAGTGTGACAGTTTACAGTGATGCATAATACACTTTTAAATAGACAATGTCATAACCATCAGCACTGCTGCAGTCTGTCATATACTGCACATTACAACACTAGCTACATCAAATATAATCACATACAATAATCCAGCACAAAATCCCTCAATTAAGAAGTTTATGTTGAGTTTTTGTTACCTGTTTGAAAGTTGATTAGGTGAAGTGGTTAAAGTATGACACCTTTCAATATAATGCATTCCAATACAAAACAACAAACCACAACTGGAAATTATTAGCAAAGTTGATACAGTACCTTTCTGACAGTGTCAGCAAACTAAATGTCATTAAGGTGTGATTTATTGTGGGTTGTTGGATTGAAATGTGAGAGACATGGCTAGGAGACAAACCCAGTGAAATGCTAGGTTATTTAGACAAACAGATCCATATTTCACTCAATAGATTTTATATCAAAGTGACATATTTTGATTGTTACTATTGGTTCTTTCATACTCTATGTATACTAAACTAGGGTGGGCGATAATGATTTCTGACAAAAAAAACTCTTTCGTGGTATTGGTATGAAGGCCGAGCAAGTAGAAGCATCAACTCAAACAAGTTGATAAAACTGTCAAGTACCTGTGATGCAGTCTGGCCAGGAAAATACATTTTATAATCATAACAGAACAATAATCAAAATCCCAGATGTTATCTCAGATCACAGTCTTAGAATACTTGCCCTGTTCCAATACATTTATATACGAGAATAAAATTAAACAAAAAACATGCAGCATTTCAAATTTCCAAAATAACCTTTATTCTAAACTTACATTTTAAATTTTAAGTTTAGTATAAAAAAGTTAAGTGCACCTAAGTTCTTTTTTTCCCAAAGTATTCCATCTTTGACACTCATCTCCTTTAGTAATCTTAAAAGATAGAACGTGTACCAAAGTCTGTCACATCACTTTAGTACATACATCTATTTTTACAAAATATTGTAAAGAGAATCCCTGAACTATAAATGTCCATAATCCTTCAACAAAGGGTAATCCATTTGCTGGCTGTGGTTGGCATAGCATCTACTGGTCAGCTATAGTTTACAGTACTTCATATTGCTGAGACAAAGCCACCATTATGCTGCTTTACAAACAATCAGAGCAGAGATGGGGGAAAAAAAAAAAAAATTTTAATCATATTTTAAAAGCTTTGATAGCTGTGGCCTTTTCCCCAGCAAAGCTGTATGAAATGGCAGCGTGAGTGAATATTGAGCCATTTTAAATACACAGGTGACACGACAGTCACGTCTTGTATAGAAGCTTTGTGTAGGAGCTGCGAAGAGGGGGGGGTTCATCAGATGAATGAAGCACGTTTCCAGACGGCTGGTCTTTCTGACTTCAATAACACTGAAATCCCTAAATGTTGGTTGAGAGCAACAGCATTTGTTTTCTGGTGGCCACAGCTGTTAAAACTTGATATGGTATGTCGGATACCCAGACACATTGACGCTTCCAGACACCAAAATGATTATGTACGTTTATGGTACCCATACTAACTTACCTAGTTTCACAAACCTTGTTTACGTTTTGCAAGATAATGTGATAAATGATGTCTACATATAAAGATTCTAAAGACGTTTAATTAGCAGCACAAAAATGTCTTGTAAATGAACAATTATGCTGACAGTGATATAGCCTCATTGCAAAAGTTTGCATACACTTTCAGGCTACTGAACAACACGACACATCTTGACATTCCTTTCAAATGGACTACACTTGATGAATTTAAAAATGTTCCAAAATCTCACAGCTTTCTTTAAAAAGTCAGGAAAACAGAATTTAAAAAAAACAAACAAAAAAAGAGGAGTAGCCCCTTGTGTGCAACCACTCAGATTTGCTTAGCAGTGCATCTCAGATAAAAAGTATTTAATCAGATTTTCACATAGCAAAGGTGCAAAAATATGCAACGACTTAAAAGATGCAATTAACCCACATAAAGTGACATTAACACAACAATTGCAGTCATGTCAGACTGAAGGTCTAGGTTCCAACAAACTCATAACTGCTGATTTGATGATATGTTTGCTTTTAAATTGTGACATTTCAAATTTCTAGTCACAACCAAACATACGTGCATTGTAGACCAAATCTTTGGTACAACCAGCTCATTGGTTATACTTAAAAATGTATCTGCCTAACTACTCATGTAAATCACTTAAATGTAGAAAAGTAATGAAGGACATAAAGAAACACCAAAATATTTAATAAAGTCTCCTAAACCTTTAAAAATGTTGACTAGAAACTAATGCTATCACAAAGGTGACATTCTTCTACCGTGAATAAATACTTGATGATACCAAATAATACTCTGTGAAAAAGACAAAGAGAAACAATGGAGGGTAATTCTTGAAATCCGTACAATAAAACATTTAGTGTATAAACTCTGGGTATCCGACTGTGGAATAGAAACAGGAGACAAAAAAATCTAAAATGTTACACCAACCACCCCTTCCCATTCAACTTACTATTTGGATTTACTTTAAATTTCTTTCCTTTAAGTTTACTGAAGTTAATTTACTTTAAATTAGGGCTATCCCCAGTGCTCTTTGGCACTTGACTATGTTCATCTACAAGTTGCCCAGCAAGGTACAGTAAACCACTTTGTATATTGCATGAAATCTTTTCTTGAATTATTTGCTTTAGTTTAATTTATTTAATTTACAAGTGATTTAAATGCAACAATCTGTCAGATAAGACAGTTCAGTGTGCAACAAATCTGCCATGGTATTTTGGATACTGTGTAAAGGACAAGACAATGCTAGCTAAAAGTATTCAAGATGCTTCTTTTTTTTTTTCTCGTATAGTTGAGATGTAATTTCTCATCATCATCAGCATACTGGTATTTACATGGAACTAGTACACACCTATTAATTTAACTACACTAAACGTTTTCAAAAAAGACAAGTGGGGATTTCTTTTTTTTAGTGCTTTCACTGCAACTTTGTAACTGCATTTCACTTTCACCATTAAGCAGCTAAACTATAGAATACGGGTCTGATATTTAAACATTTCATTTACGTAGCTTTACAGGTATACAAGAACATCTGAACGTAATTTGTAATCCATTCGATCAAAAGGAGACCAGGTCTCTTAAACAACTACAGGTTCCTATAAGAGGTCCAATCTGGAATGACCAAAGAGGTTAGACCCAATGAAGAATCATGGAATGAATTCTATGACATTAAAAATTTGCATTTGTCCTCTCCAGGCAGTGGTATTCATCATTTGATCTCTAGGTCAGAAGTGGAGTACTGTACCTTTCATGAGGGCTCTAAAATATTACATTCCGTTAGGTGATATCAGTATTGTGGCATGGCCAAGCAGCCTGAAGAGGGAGGCGTATGGGATGGGATAGAACTGGGGCATCATTTGGGATGGGGACACGGTTTAGGCATGGAAGAGGAGTTGAAGAGTTGCTGTTACCAGATGGTATAACCTCCATTGGATCCACCCAGGAAGAAGTTATTCTTGCGCTGTGTCATTACAACATTGGCACCCTGCATGGCAGCCAACTGAGCTGCATTGGGGGGGTGTCCAGGAGGTGGGGGCTGGAGAAGGGCAGAAACAAGCACAAAAATTGGTAAAGAGCTGATCAACTTTGGATGTGAAGTATTCTGTCCTCCAGGCATGAGATGACACTGCATCTCAACAACACCCTAAATGCGATAATTCTGGCTGCTTAAAATAATTGACTTGGTGGATACTTACGGGGATGGAAACACCGCTGCCTGCTGTGAAGCGAGCACCAGCATCATAGCCGCCCTCCACCATCACTGTTGAACCAGCAGGGTACACAGCTCCCATGTGGTAGTAAGCCATGGGGACATTCTGGCCCACTGGCCCGACAGGCATATGTGGCTGCATGGGCATAAACACCCTGAGCACCAGGGTAGGGAGATGACATCTGGGGCACCTGACCAGGCACCTGAGGTGGAAGCACATATCTGGGCTGGTATATCTGCAAACACAGAGATGAAAAGACAGGTTTAAAACTGTTCACTGCGAGTATTAATTGTGTTATCATATGCCATTTAAATGCAATAGTTACCTCAGAATATGCAGGTGGTGTGTCTGTGTATGGAGGTGCCTGAGGAGACATTTGCATAGCAGGAGGGTATACAGGTGCAGTGCTCTGCTGAGGGTACACAGCCTGCTGTGGATATGAACCTGCAAGACAACATTTTACATGACTTTAGTGTTAACAGTGACTGACATAAATCCCAGGTTGAGTGAGTGGTACAGTGTTATGAAATGATGACAGCGTTTCAGCAGGAAACAAGAATTCTAGAGGTTAAACATTTCTCAGAAACAGCATCAAAATATGTGACAGAGGACAAAACATAGATGTTTACTGTCAGGATAGAGTATACTACATTTTCTGCAGTAATATGAAAAATATTAAAGTAAAATATTTTAATTTTTCACAAAAGGAGACAGTAGCACTTACAGCGCTTTTGAGGTGAAAGGTAGTGAAATTATTTAAACCACAAAGATAAATTTTCTTAAAAGGCCAATAAATCCTATAATGACAAATGATTCCCGTAAAAAAAAAAAAAGAAATTTCAAAAATTAAAGACATTTATATAAATAAAAGCATCAACATACAAACACATCTAAATAGATAGAAACCGATTAGTCAATTAGTTGATTAGTCAGTCAAAGACAATTTATTAATCATTTAAGTTATTTTATAAGTAAAAATGTTATGCTTCACATATGTTAATATTTCCTGGTTTCCTTTGTATTCGTTTAGGACAAAACAAGACTTTAAGGCATTGCCAAGGCCTCCGGGTGCTTGTGATTTTGTGCGATTTGCAGACATTCGCAATTTGCAAGACCAAGCAATAAATTTGATAAATTAGAAAATGTATTAATCGATGATCAAAACAATCGTTATTCACAGCCCCACAACTGAAGTGTACAGCTGCATCAAAACCTGGTAGCAACAAAAGATCGTTCAAACAATCAGTATGTTCAGATAAGGTGGGTAAAAAGCTAAAACAGTATATAAACATACTGTATGTTCAAAGTGACAATAAAAAAAATCGACTATTATTAAAATGATTGACAGAAATTAAGATTCCAATGCATGCCAAAACAGTATATCATGTCAGCGTTGCCTTTAAAATCTGCCTGTATTGAGCGATGCTAGCTAACTGAAAATATGTGACCTGGTCACTAACGGTATGGTGATCTATACCGTGTCAGTAAATTTAGACGATCATTATTAAAAGCTTTATTATTTGATTATAAACTAGATGCCAAAGCTTAGCGTGTGTGTGCTACACTGCTATCCAGAAAACGTCCGTTTATTGTCATGTACGTAGCTAAACGTGAGGTCCGCTTCAGATGGCCATAACGACAGCTCTTCATTTCTATCGTTAGTTTTAACGTCAGCGTCGTATAACGAACAGCTAACTAATTACATAAAAAAAGTCTGGAGAAATACCTTTGTTGTTCATTGTTCTTGTATGATCCGGAGACTGAGGAATATCAGATTAAAACGGAGCTCTGCGTATCTTTTCACGGCCTTATAACAGGTTACGGCTTCACAATCATTCACTTCCTTGTTTTTCAGCTTCTTGTTGTTGTGGAAGTAGTGACGTCAGTCGTTCTCTATCTGTGGTTCGACGCACCATAGTGTTTTACGTGCGCGCGCCCCCTGCAGATAGAAACGGAGGCGAGTTCAAGAGTGATGAAGGTGAACTGTTGACTTCTTGAAAAAGACCAAAATAATTTCATTTAAGGCCAAGCATATGTTTAGGAGAAATAGCAGTTAAGTATAAAAATAGACGAGACAAAAATGTGTCGTCTATTTTTATCTGTCAGAATACAAGCTGAAATAAAATAAAAACATAGCTAGATTGTTAGCTAGCTAGCTAGCTATCAAGAGACAGCAGATGCAGAGTGTTAGTGTAGAGAGTACAGTAATCCAAAGGCAACATTGCACGCAACACAAAGGGACATAAAGAGGTAGATAAGAAAATTGCATAATAAAAACACAAATAACTTAATTAGCCCCGCGACCCTGTACGCAGGATAAGCGGTTGACGATGGATGGATGGATAACTTAATTAGAAACTGAACTAAACACTATACTTGTTGAACACATACGTATGTACAACAATAGTGCCTGATAATATTCTGTAGGTGCTTACTGCAGGTCTAATATATAGTGAATATTGTCTTGTATTGCAATAACTTAGCAAGAATGTTAATACTTGATATTAATGTGCAGTCTATTTTTTCTGCTTATGACTTCTAGTGAGCTATCTGTGTAAATACAACACAGGCCTTTGTTTTGTTGCATTTTGACTTATCGTAGTAGGAAAAGCACCTTGCTTTGCTCCAATCAAGGTGTTATTAATACCATTAACAATGGCTCTGTTCTATTGAATTGTCCCAGTAAGCCATGACAGTGTGATATTGAGCCAGCATGCACAATACCAAGACCCTTGAACTGAAGCAGCTAAATGGAATTATTATTTACACCTGTACTTTTCCTACAAGTGACCTATTAATTAATTCATGTGTTTGCAGAAGGCAAATATATAATATACTCATTAAAATAATAGCAAATGAGACATGTCGATTCTTGACTTTGGAGATATACACTATCTGTTTGTATACATGTTCATGTAAATGGATTGTATTTGATTCAGTCATTCATTCAGTCAGACATATAGCCTATATAGCAAAGGATTTTTTTTTTAAAGAAGTAAGTTTTTTCAGCTTACATAGTACAGTTTGTTGGCTAATATACAGTTTGCATTTACATGTGTGCAATCAGGCCAAAATATTTAATTAATAATAACTGTTATTAATTATAATTATTTTTCCTTCCATCTTTTTGTTGAGATTCTAGGTAGATACAATGCTTCCACCCAGTCAGAAATACATTCATTTCTACTTCCACCAACTTAACAAAACACAAAAAACTCAGCAGGTACACAGTCTCAGTCAAATTGTTAGTTAGGCAGACAGAAATCCCACCCACAGAGGTCATTGAATAGGGCTAAAAACAAAATATAGCAGGCCCATCAGAAACCAAAGCATATCCTCTCCTTAGTACACAAAAATATAGTTTTGTAAGAGTGCTTGGTTTTAGTGAATCCCCAGTGTTGCTTTCAACAGTTTGCACTAATAATAGAAGTAAACAGCTTGTTTGTCATTCCAAAATACTATCAGTTAAACAAAGAGCAGTATTAGGCAACTGTTCGTGTAGCAGCACAGTGTTTTATGTATTATTAAATTGTGTCTTTCATTGCTTAACTCTGTTCAGCCTTTATTTGAGGTACTTCCCCTTTAAGAGAGCCATGGCACCTCTCAAGCCGAGGCAGACATTTTTCAATGCAAGATTTTTTCTTGCATAAATTATGTTCATGACGTAGTGTAAAAGGCCAATTTTCTGGCAATTTTGTCCGACTTTACAGCTCAAATAGGATTTTGTGAGACACCTCAAGGATTTTTGATTATCTGAACTGTTGCAGAAAGGGCATCGTCATTAAATATTAAGAGAGAGGAGATCCTAACATTGCAACCCTCCTTATCAATGCAAATACCTCTTTTGTGTGCAGTCACAGCGCCTGTCTGGGAGCTGAGATGAATTTTTAATTATGTGTGACTGAAACAAACTGTGACAAGGACCTTTATAAGCGCGGGGGATTACAGAAAATAAGCTGTATTTTCGCGGTAAGTTGATATAACAACCGGAGTCTATTCTAGCCTGCTCTTCGCGCATAGCAGAGAAAAGCGATAGGAAATGAGTTTTGGTTAATATGCAATGTTCGTAATTAGCATAATTTATATATTTATGATAAAGAGAGGGAAATACATAATATTCGTCTCCAGGCACGGGTCGAGATGATTTCTGTCGCCTGCACTTCGTGGTTAGTGCTTGTCTTCAAAAGTGGCCGAGACAGCGAGACTTTTATTGGCCAGGATGGGGGTGGGGAGCCCATCAACACCCGCCGAAGTTTTGACAGATTCTCATTTCTAACGGGGCACGGCAATATGAAATGTACCATCATGAATCTTTTTTTGATCTGTGAAGAATTTGTAACCACTTAATGTCCACCATCAGCGTGTTTCATCACGTTTTCTGCAGCTTTAGTGCAACATAGTATGGCCTGTTTATAGGCCTCTCCAAATAGTCTGGTCCTGCAATGACAGAAATAGCCATGAATAAAAAGCAAGTCCTCTGCATGCGGGTCTGTTTAACTACCATTTTCCCCTAAAGAGCGGATACTGTGGGCTAGGGGGGGTCACCGTAATGAAACTTATATATTTGTTATTCTGAAAAGACTGCAAAACAGATTAGAAGGAGGGGATCAAGTAGTCAGACACTAAATCAGAAGATACAGTAATCAGTGCTTGTTTACCCAGAATGCCAGGAAGACAGAGACTGTGGTGGTGCAGCCAGCCATGAACTCTCAGGATCTCCCTGCCAAAGATGCCCCACTTACTGTCAATGAGCAGGTAAAACTCACCTGTCTGTTAAAGCAAGGTAAAGTGCTTTCTAACCACACTGAGCTTAGCCAAACCCTAACAATGTGTGTTGTCTTCAAGCTGCTTTTTGTTCCTATCACCCTCCATGTGCCAGCATACCATATCATAACTGAATGATTAGCTTCCACACAGAAGTTCATCAATATCAGGACCCACTTTTGTGTTTTATCACCTAATAATACCTGCTACTCTATGCTTGTGAGGGTTACCAGCCTTTAAATTGCCATGCTTAATAATTTATCATGGTTTTTCTCTCTCTAGTAACATTCTGTGTAGACATAGTCAGCAAACAAAAGCAATGCTCTTCACGGATATACAGAAGAGAAGAAAGCATTGCTTGAGCTGCTTGTTGGCTGAATCTCTTGTCATTGTTTTGGTGTACTCATGCTCTCGTCATCTATTTTTTCCCCCGTGTTGTTTTGTTTTGTGTCATTGGGTCCTAACATGTGCTCGGCTTCTCTGTTCTCCTTAGCCATTCACTGTCTGACTGCAGAAGTCTTTTTTCAGCCATTTAAATCCTGCACTTTGAAATTCCCTGCCAAAGACAACCAGGTATGCATCCTCCTCTCTCTTCCTGCATTGTCTCTCTGCACCTTGTCCTCCAGCCCAGGTTGTCTCGCTGTCTCTCCTTTAGGTCTTTCATTATCGCATACCATGAATCATCGGTTTAGTCAAAATGTACTACATGTAGTTTTATATTTATAAGTATTAAGTGGAGACATACAACATTTTTAGCTATTTTTGACCCATCAGGCGCAAATGAGAAGTTACCATATTAAAATGTTTTATTTACTTAAGTGTTTCACAAAATAATACACATAATAACACAATAATAACAAATGTATCTACTATGAGATTCTAATAGAACTCTAATAGAACAAAAAGAAGTATCATCTCAGCTTTTACTCCTAATTGCTGTGTAGGTCATTGTGATGTCTGGCCAAGAGACTATTCGTGTGCTAGAGGTAGAAGTCGATGCGTCTCTGCCATCGTCAGTACCTGATGGGATGAGCGAAGGCAAAGCTGAGGAGGGAGTGGCTCAGCCTGCAGAGCAACCTGAGGCTGGCAGCACACAGGACGGCACCAGTGTGTCCCAGAGCCACGGGGGAGTAGGTAAATCATGGTCGTACTAGATAGTGATTGATAGCAAATTGCTTATTATTTATATGTACATGGCTCAGTTGCACTGAGATGTTAATAACAGCTGTGAAAACCACTTCAAATGTCACATCCCTGGCTGTGCTCCTGCAGTGCTGGGTGAGCAGCAGGTGGTGTCTATAGAGGGGTCCTGCCCCTGCAGTCCAAACGCTGACTCCTGCTGTTCCCGTTAGTTTGTCCCTGCCACAACCCCAGGCCGCCATGCCCATTACTGTACAGGGCTGTCCACAGGTATGACCAACTACACTTTCCATATTCATTCAAGTCATCAGATAAAGAATGTTGTAGACAATAGTCATTAGTTTTTCTTGACTAAATACCAGCATTAGAAATGGGTTACACTTGGGGTGCATTGGCCTTGACAGGAAATGTCTGTGAAATTAAAAATGAGGGGGACCCTATTTGCATTTCCCCTTGTGCACATATACTTTATATGTCCAATATTCATGATTCAGAGGGATTAATTTCACTGTTGTCACTCACATGCTACTGTATGTAATTTGCGGAAGTCACTGACTGGGGTAATTGTCCCTTGTGCGTTATGAAAGTGAAAAGTGAAACAAGTTTGATCCCAAACACCTGAATACATAACCTGAGGCTGTAGAAACTCTTTGCACAACATTTCCAGCAATTCAGCCCATACTACTGCAACAATAAAAAAGTAAAACATCCAATATGGTAAAAAAAAAAAAGATTGGAGTGAAGAAATGTGAGGTAAAATATAATCTGAAAAAAAAAAAAAACAGTGCTCTGTTCATCCCAGTTATAAATGTTGATGGAAAGCAAATATTTTATTATGCAACATTAGGTCCTGACCCAGGAAAGTTTGGCCACTCTGATGACTGGGATGATGGCCCAGACAGGGTCCCTGGGGCAGCCCCTACTCATCCCCCTCAGTATGGCGGGCGCCATCGGTGGCCAGGGTGGTCTGGCTGTTCTCACTTTGCCTACCACCAATGTAGCTACTCTCCCTGGGTTTGCAACAGCTAACGCGGCTGGAAACCTCCTTAAACTGCCCTTTGCTGGCCTCCAAGGTAAAACACAAACTGTCTGTTTACTCTCTCATATCTAGATTTAGTCCAAACTTATTTGGGCTAGATAAAAGCGAAAAGCCTTTAACATTAACAATGATCAATGTTTTTTAAATTAGCCCTGTTAGCGGCTCTATGAATGGCAATGCCAGTCATTTAGTCAGTCCACCACTTTAGTCCACACTGAAATATCTCAACAGATTGCAACGATATTTTTGACAGGACTCCTCAGAGAAGGAATCCTAATGACTATGTTGCAACCATGAGGTTGACATTTGTGGTTTTAAGTGAAATATAACAACAACCATTGGATTTTTATGAAATTTAGTTCAGACATTCATGTTCTCCTCAGGATGAATTGTAATCATGTTAACTTTTCATCTAGGACCATCATCAGGTCAAAACTGAAATGTTTCCAATACTTTGATTTATGACCAAATACCTGGAAAACCAATGGCATTCCCATCAGCCTAAGCCGTGCTTATTGCTATTTAGCATTATAACACGCTAAACTAAGATGGTGGACATACATGCTAAACATCAGCATTAGTGTTGTCATTGTGAGTTGACCACTGCACCTAAGTACAGCCTCACAGAGGCTAAAATGTGTTTAGTTTGTTTTCTCACAAAGAACTATAACAGGTTGTGTACTCTTGAATTTCTTCTCAGCTGCGACAGTCCTGAACTCGGTCCAGCCCCAACTGCACACAAATGCACACACGATGTTCCAGCCTCAAGCAGCTTCCATACAGCCAGTACAGGTGACGTCTCAGCCAACACATGTGACCAATGCACAGGTCACCGCTGCTCAGGTGGCGGCAGCCCAGGCGACCACGGCCACCACTACTGTCTCTCAGTCCAACATATCTGTAGCAGCACTCCAGACTGCCGGACTCTCCATCAATCCTGCCATTGTAAGAATGCTGCTTCACAGATTAATGCCTGTTCATACTTTCTGTACTGTTTATATCATGTCAGTCAAGCAATGTAATTTCCAATGCTATTTACTGTTGTGATTCTCTGCCCAGATCAATGCTGCTTCCTTGGGAGCTCAGCCCCAGTTCCTCAGTTCCCTCACCTCCACTCCCATCATCACTAGTGCCATGTCCAACATGGCTGGCATCACCAGCCAGATCATCACAAATGCCCAGGGACAGGTGGGTGTATATATATATATATATATAATGTGCCTAGATACTGAATTTTGTAGTTGTGTATCATTGGCCCAAAAAAGTCTGTGATTGAATATAACACATAACAGACATAATAACTTAATAGTAGTGGGCTCCCCTTACGTAGTGCCATTTACATTTTTGCTAGTGTTCAGGTTGATGCATATTGTTTTGTAACACATTCTCCAAGGGCAATCAAATGTTTTCTGTGTTGTGTGGGAATGGAAAACCCCAGCCTGTAGTTAACATCAATCAACTGTGCTATTTCAATTCTGTGGAGCATAAGACAATTTCTGAAAAACTGATCTGTCCTCCCAAACAGATGCATTATGCAATCTTACCATTTTTACAGCTTATTGGAGTTAGTATTGCAGTGTTTAATCTTGATATTTCAAGTGAACTGCTAATTGGAACGTACTCATTTTCCCAGAAGCAAAAACATTGCTATGACAGGTTGTTGGATGTTCTGAAAGTGGTATGGTAAGCGAAAACTATCACATAGGGTTACATTCAATTATTTGTATTTCTCTTAAATTCAAACAATATTTACAGGTCATAGGAACCCTCCCGCTGTTTTTGAACCAAGCCTCTCTGGCTGGAGGGGCCGCGACATCCACCCTCCCCCTCCAGGGTCTCCAGGTCCAGACTGTCACCCCACAGCTGCTTCTCAACACCCAGGGCCAGATCATTGCCACAGTAGGGAATGGACCTGCAACGGTTGCAACTTCTACTGCAGTTCTACCCAAAGCTGCTGCTCCATCAACACTTACCAAATCTAACACACAGGTAGACATCAGAAATCTGTGTGAATTTATTTTTATGGTCAGAAAGTAATTTCTGCATTTAAACTTGAAAGCTGAAGTGGACCAAAAATGACAGCATCATCTATGAACAGACAGAGTTTATTGGCTGAAGGTATTTAAATGAGATTCAATTTTGCGATTTGCATCATTGCAGGTGACATACAATATTATATATGTGTTTCCTCCCAGGCTTCGGTAACAACTGTCAATCAGTCACCAGTTGTCATCGCCCCACAGCCGTCTCTACTGAAGGCCGCCACCAATCTCTCCTCCACAGTACCTATCACCTGTGGAGACATGGCAAAAGTGGGCCAGCTTGTCAGCAGTATGTACACCTGCATCTCCTATCCAAACATAGATCCGTTCTACCGTAGGTAGATATTTTTAACTAGATTTTTCACGATTGTAGAACCCCAGCAGGTAGTCAGCAGCGAGGACGGCATTAATCTGGAGGAAATTCGAGAGTTTGCCAAGAATTTCAAGATCCGTCGGCTCTCCTTGGGGCTTACTCAGACACAAGTAGGGCAGGCTCTAACTGCAACTGAGGGTCCGGCCTACAGCCAGTCTGCTATTTGCAGGTAAATGACTCCCCTGTTGATTTTTTCTTTTTTTTTTTTTTACAATTCATATTGTTTATTTCCTACAAATCAAAATTGATTTAAAAGAATTGTTTAACATTTTGGAAATTGCTTCTTAACAGAGCCTCAGATGAGAAGATTGATACCACTGTCTGTCCAATGAATATGAAGCTACAGACAGCAACCGTTTAGCATAGCTTAGCATAAAGACTGGATAAAGTGGGAAACAATTAGCCTGGCCCTGTCCAAAGGTAAGAAAGTCGACATACCATCACTCAGTTTACAGTTTTTATTGATTAAACAAACGGTTAATTAGTGAGCTTTAGTGCTTTGGTGCTGGTAGGTCGATTTTGTTTCCTTTACACAGAACCAAGACTAGCTTTCCCCTTGTATCCAGTCTTTATGCTAAGCTATTTACCGTTATTATTTACCGTACAGATATTATAGCCATATCGATCTTCTCATCTAAGCAAGAAAGCCAATAAGCACATTTCTCAAATTGTTAAACTTTTACCTAAATTAAATAGTATCACTGCAACATCTGTTTGTGACATTTGTAAAAAAACAAACCAAAAAACTGTAGTATTAAATCCTCAAACTAATGTATCAGTGTGAATGTGTTCAGGCAACTTACATTAATAAACAATTTCATAGCTCTGGCTACGTTCTACAGAAAAAATAAAGACGTGAGTATATTTTCAAGCATTATCCAAATGGTTCATGATCTTAAAGTAACATTTTAATATGAACAGCAATGGGGTCGTCCTTACATAGAGGTAAGTAAGTACATCAAGTAAAATAATAAAATATTTGTAAGTATGTTGTTTAAAGCTTCGTGGGCTAGTACCCAAAATATCTAAGTTACTTTCCTGCAAATTGGGTGTATGTGAATTCACAAGGATGAAATAAAGATACAATTCATACAGTGTGTGTTCTCATGAAATTGTTCATACTGATCTTTCTTTTGTGCCGCAGGTTTGAAAAGCTGGATATCACCCCAAAGAGTGCTCAGAAGCTGAAGCCGGTGTTGGAGAAATGGCTGGCTGAAGCGGAGCACTGGAATCAGAAAGGCCAGCAGAATCTGATGGAGTTTGTTGGTGGTGAACCATCCAAAAAACGCAAGCGGCGTACTAGTTTCACACCGCAGGCAATAGAAGTTCTTAACTCCTATTTTGAGAAGAATGCATTGCCAACAGGCCAAGAGATTACAGAAATTGCAAGAGAGCTAAACTATGACCGAGAGGTTGTGCGAGTATGGTTCTGCAACCGACGACAGACACTAAAAAACACGAGCAAGATCAACGTCTTCCAGGTTCAGTAGCGACCTCATCCTCGGAGGCTTCGCCACTGATCGTTTGTCGTTTTGGGAAGTTGAACATTTAATACAGCATCACAGTTGTAGACTATTGTAAAAAAGAAAAGAATATAAAGTTTTTGAGAAAATGAAGGAAAATTACACACAAATCAAGTGTTACGAAAGAGTGGTAAAATGAGTTATTGGATTTTAAGACTATATGTGTACACTACTTCTGTGTGGTGGGTACTCAGTCAAACTGCATGGTCATTTTATCATATACAGTGATAATAATACATTCATAATAACATGTCATATTTAAAAACATTTGATGAACTTTTATACAAGTGGTTTTATAAGATATCTCTCTGAGTGGCAGTGCATTGAGTCACATTGATTTTAGTCACATAATTGTCACTTTGGCACAATAGCTGACAATACGCTGAAATTTGAATGACATGCTTTTGCCACCATGTAGTTTTTCAAAGTTCTACCTGCTCATTTATTTTATATTGACACAGTATTTGCACTGCGTGAGCCGCTTTGCAAACCTAAAAAAGATTCTGATAGACATGGATTCTGTAGACTAAGCCGTAGCCTATAACCTTATTTTCATCAGAAGTACTTCTCTGAGGAACGCCTAAAATTACATTCCTATCTATGGACTTCTGACTCTACAGCAATTTTTGAGACAATCATCATTTTGATATATTGTATTGATAATCACAAAGATTAGCCTGAAATGTGTTGTAATTTCCTTTTGTTTGGTGTGATACTTTTATTCACTAGTGTGAAATATGTCACACTGTACTGTCCATAGAGAGGGTAATTTCTGATGTTCCATGGACAACAGGTTCTTATGCAAAATAAAGTTGTAGCTTCAGCTATTGCCTATGATGTCACAACTGGAAACTCATTTAAGTTGTTTTTTTTATAAAGGTTGTTTCATTTGTGAGTTACTGAATGGGCAAATACAAATATTGTACATGTGGGTGGCACGTGTGTGTTGATTCACCACAGTTTGTCCTGTTTTTACACTTTCTGTTTCTGAGTATTTTGTGTTTCCTGTTAATTCACTGTTGTGACTGTCCCATCTGATTTAATGACTTGACAATGCTTCCCCTGCATTTTTCATCTCAAGTTAGAGAAAGTGTAATTGCAAAATAGGAGCTTAATTGGCCTTTTATGAAGTCAACTTAAAATAGTCTAATGTTGCCTAGAAATATTAGTGCCAGATACTTTTACTAAACCTAATATCAATCAAATTGATTTACTGAATTAAAAAAATAATGAACTGTTCAGCCAAGTTAATGGTTTAATGTGTTATGACTTTAAATTGTAACAAGTTAGAAGAGTGTTTGCATGTGCAGTATGCAGTTATTTTCTGTAGAAACAATACTATGGCGGTTTTCTTAATCTTTGCCAATTCTTCAAGAATTATTTGCACTTTAGTGACAGCAGGGAAAGTGAAGGGGTAATAAATGGTTTATGTACAGTGCAAGGCTTCAGTTATGTGTGTGAGAGAATTTAATTTCTGCGTTTTAATGTTCTTGAAACAGCAAGAAGCTTTGCTTTGCAAAATGTAGCAGTACTGGCAAAATTGCAATCATGAAAATGATAGTCAACATCTATCATTAATGTTAATGTACTTTTTATGCAGATGAAATGTAAAATGCTGCAGATTAGATATACGCTCTAATATGCATTAATGCAATTGAGTTTGTGAATTAAATGGCGGATTTTATGGTCCAACTCATATTTACCTTTTGAATAACAGTAGAACTATATTGCAGTGTACCTAACCATAAAAATAATGAATATTGCAATGGTCTTGCTTTAACACATGTTTTATCTTCATGTTCAAAATGGGAAAACAATATATAATATTGTTTAATATACTAAGTTATCAATAGGGAAAAGAAAAAAGATAAATTATAGTTATAAGATATCTGCTATTTGTCATTTGACTCTGCAAAGCACAGAAAAGGTTCAGGTCTTTGTGAGACAAGGAAAAAAGTGTTTGTCCTTTTCTGTCAGATAAATAAAATAAACCCTGTCTTTATTAATCACTCCTTATTGTTGTGTGTTGATATATTTACAATACTTGCATTGACTGTATTTAATAGTAGTTTTTTGACCTCCATAAAAAACAGAGATTGAAAAATGTTGTTTTTACAAGTAAAATTAACTACTTAACTTCTAAAAGCAGTAAGTTACTCTCCTTGTCAATCTCATGTGTAATTGCCGTAAGCGGTGGGTGGCGGTAATGAGCCCCAACGATGTTTGATAGCATTGTGAAATAACACGAAGAAGAAAACAAAACGGAAATTACGGTAGCTCCTCTTTCCTGACGAAGATAGATAAACAAAGCAAAATATTATATTAACGTTACATAAATGTCGGAATCTGAGTTAGTTTTGACGTGTTTATATTTATAGATATATGTTACAAGTTGTTCCCGTGAATCTCTAATACCTGAGGGGGGAAAAGGGCTAACGTTAGCATCCTGCGTGCTAAGTTCGCTGGCAGGGTACCGTAACGTTGTAACGTTATAGCTTGTACGTTAGTGGTTAGCTCGACATGTTTATTATTTTAGTGCTGGGGCGAAGAAGCGCGACATGATGGCATGACACTGCCGCAGAGTTAGCAAGTAGCTACACTTTTACTTAAAGGTATGATATATATTTTTGTTTGTATTACTTTAACTAAATAACAAGAGGAAAGACACAAGGATAAAAAATGATATGGCTTAATAACACAAGTTCTCGTAATCAGTGCACGGTTGCATAAAATCCGTGTGTAGACAATCGTTAACGTTAACCTTAATAGAAGCTCTGCTTTCTTCGGAATGATAACCTGTTACTGACAATTACGCAAGCTGCTAATTTGATTCTTTTGACATTTCTATGGGCATGTTCCTCAATTAAACAGCTAACTTACATTTTGCCTTATTTCCACACGATTTTAAAGTTGGAGCCACATTCAGTGATCATAATCTTATAATTTTACTCTCTCCTCTAAAGATTGGAAGGTTGTGGGGAAACAGGTAAAACTTGGCTAAAGTTATAACTGGAATTGCACTCCGTAAGATCTCCACACAGTCAGCATGGCGTGGGCTTTGAAGTTGCCTCTCACTGATGAAGTGATTGAGTCTGGACTGGTCCAGGACTTTGATGCCAGTCTCTCGGGCATTGGCCAGGAGCTAGGTGCTGGGGCATATAGCATGAGGTATTGTATACGTTTTGAACCCTCTGTTGAAAGTATACTGTTGGACTGCTACACATTGATATTCACCAAAATATATAATCTGATTTGTACCTTTTTTTAAAATACAGTCAAAACGTGTTTCAAGTTGGTAAACAATTGGTAAAAATATCTGTTTCACTTGGGTAATTGTTGATGTAAACAGTGACAGTAATGGTACTCTCAAAGTGATGCCTCCTTCATTTGTCACTTTCTAAAGTTAGTAAAACTGGATCATCTGCTGAAGCTTAAATGTCAGCAGTGTGTATTTTCACTTGATCTAGACTGTCTTATCAAAGTTGCAGACCATGTTTGTGAGCTCTTTTATGTGGAATTGACTCGGGATTATATATGAAATGTATTTGGTATCTTTTCAAGATAAATGATCAAACTTTTCTGTCTAATCAAATCTGTGTCTGCACCAGTGTGCAGTTGAGCAGAGATATGTCTTCACATTTTGAATTCATACAAGAATAAGTGAAGTACTGCACTCCGAGATAGCAGAAGGTCAAATTAACCACCGCATGCAGATACATTGCAAAGCACTGCTTGGTGACTATCAGATGACGAATACTCGTCAAATTAGACTTAGACTTATCCTATCACAATGCAGCATATCCCTGACACATTAGTGTAAATTTATCTGCACACGGTTCTCTGTATTTTTTAGTTTATGTCTTATTCAAGACTATATAGATAGATATTTATGATGCTTGCGCTCAGTTTTTCATTATGGCAATTGTGGATGGTTGTGTGAAATCCATTTCGGTTTTGCTGACTCAAACGCTTTGCTTTGCTGGAGAAAGATGTTGTGCCATTTCTTGGCTGGTTAAATGATACTGTACAAGCTGCAAAGTGCCTGCTTGTTTCTGAAATTCTTCTGTTGAGAGGAGCAATGAGATCCTGACTGGATACCTTGGTATTTAGAAGCGTTGCCTCCATTATAATTAATGAACTGCAAAGCTGGCAAACACAATATAGGATATAATGGATATGTCTCACAGTGAGTTAATCAGGCTTTGGCAGCTCAATAACAGCGTTGTTTTTTTCATCTCTCTTCTCAAGCGACGTACTCGCGCTCCCCATCTTCAAGCAGGAGGAGTCCAACCTGCCTCCAGACAATGACAACAAGATCCTCCCCTTTCAGTATGTTCTGTGTGCAGCTACCTCACCAGCCGTTAAACTGCATGATGAAACACTCACCTACCTCAACCAAGGTCAGCATCAGGATCCCAGCGACACTGTACTTTTCAGCTTTGTGTAAATCTATTGATATCTAAGAGTACTAAATCAAAAGCCACTGGAAGCTCATTCACTGCAGAGATTTAATGAAATAGGGATGGTTAGGGAAATCAATATGGAGATATATTGCCATATTGTCTGTGGGGGTATGTTTTTGATACGCTGGCACGAATAAAACGATAAATTCTTGTGTGGCTGTTCAGCTTGTCGTGCACTATATGTGGCATTGCAGAATTGGCTTTATAGTGATGTCACTGTTGCCATGTTCAAAATAGTGTGTAATCAAAGTGTTGCGAGTAACTCTGTGACTCCTGTCATGGAAATAAACAAGGATGAAGAAAGTATTGTTGTACTACAACTTTAGATATCATCTGTGAATGTTTGGTAATTTTTTTAATTCCGTATGTGGATTTGTCATTGCAGGCCAATCCTATGAAATTAGAATGCTTGACAATCGGAAAATTGGGGAACTTCCGGAAATCACTGGTAAAATGGTGAAGGTAAGATGACATGCCAGTTCACACACACACACAGTATATTTGCATGTTCAAATCAGTAGCATTAACATCTGCCTTGAAATCTTTGTAACAATGAATTTCAGAGCATCATCCGTGTGGTGTTTCATGACCGACGACTTCAGTACACAGAGCACCAGCAGCTGGAAGGATGGCGCTGGAACAGGCCTGGGGATCGCATCCTTGACCTGGGTGAGCACTGAATGAAAAAGGACTGGTGTACCTTGATGGCTCCAGAATGTTCTAGTTCTTATGTATTGTATGAGATTTGTGTGTGAAAGAATGTTTCTGCACACTTGTATGTATATTAACCATACAATAAATTGTGGATAAATTCAGTTCAGGAATATTGACTGTTAATCTGAACTATAAGTAAAAGGTTTAGATGACAGTGGTGATATTATGGATAAGATGGTGTGTATTAAGACCTCCTTTTGATAACAGCCTGTTTTACATTGATCCATTGCAGATATCCCCATGTCCGTCGGCATAATCGACCCCAGGGCTAACCCTACTCAGCTTAACACTGTGGAGTTCCTTTGGGACCCATCAAAAAGAACCTCAGTTTTTATCCAGGTAGCATGAAAGACAACACAGTTGTTTTCCTGAATTACTTTCATTGATTAAAGGCAACACCTTTGGGCACTTTGGCATCAGGTAGCTAAGCTTGTTAACATTTTGTGTACTCATCTATTGTGTCTGGCAAAATGGCAAGAAAACTGAGTGTCAGTCTACAGGCATTAATTACTAATACAACAGTTTTGCCAAGACCTGTTTATTTATTGATTTCACTGACCTAAGTGTTATGTCATCATTCCTGTGTAGATAAAAATTTTATATTCCTTTCCTTTTTAGGTACACTGCATCAGCACAGAATTCACCATGCGCAAGCATGGAGGAGAAAAGGGTGTGCCTTTCCGCATCCAGATCGACACGTTTAAAGAAAATGAGAATGAAGAGTATACAGAACACCTCCACTCTGCCTCCTGCCAGGTCAAAGTCTTCAAGGTGAGGGGATGGGAAGAAGGCCAGAAATAAATAAAAAACATTGATGCACTGTATTTCAAACTTGTTATTTATGAATAACACGTACATGACTCCTGCGTGACCCGTTTCAGCCTAAAGGTGCAGACAGAAAGCAGAAGACAGACAGGGAGAAGATGGAGAAGAGGGCACCACAGGAAAAGGAAAAGTACCAGCCATCCTATGAAACCACAATCCTGACCGAGGTTAGCATATTACTAACATGTTAAAGGGACAAATGATTAGATAATGAGAAGGGTTATTAAAATGAAACACAACTTTATTTAACCAAAAAGGTAATTCAAGTGAAGATTATACTTTTATTTACAAAATGACATGGGAGAAGACCAAAAACAGCTGTAATGGGCTGTTGGTCAACCTCAAAATATCTACATCCAACTAGAGTTGCCACCAACAATTATTTTCATTATCTGTCAATCGTCTAATCGATTTAGTTATCCTCCCAGCTCAAATTCCAGCAAATTATTGAAAACTAGGTAATGAAATTGTGGTTGACACACCGACTAAAACACAAACAGTGTGGGTACATTAAATGTACAAGCTGTAGCTTATTACTAGTGGCAGGTTATTTAGATTCCACAATAACCAAACTGTCCTTTGCAGTGCTGTCCCTGGCCTGAGGTCACATATGTCAGCAACTCTCCATCTCCTGGCTTCAACAGCACACACAACAGCTTCCCAGTTGTGGAAGGGTATGAGTTATTTCTGCCACTACGTCATGATTAATTCTGTTTTGAATTTAATGCACTATAAAATCCACATAGTGGCTCTGTTATTTCCATTAGTGAGGAACACACATGATGTTTAGATTCTTTTTAATGTGGATTTAAGGGATTCTTCCCTTGTTTGACATGGTCGCTTTTTATCCTTTTTAGAAATGGATCACCAAACCACCAGCCTGAGCCTGTTGTTCAGGTTGCGGATGTAAGTACCGTTGTTCAGGTAGTTGATGTAAGTACAAGTGCGTTTTTGCTTTCTGGGTTTACTGCCTGGCTACCTCCTGCCGCACTGAATCACTGCATATTAATATTCACAAATGCAAAGCCGACATCTTGGTATTAATCCTCTGCCTCCCAATAGATTATCTGAGGCACTTTGAAAACATAAAATAAACAAAAATAAGCCTTACCTTCCTCAAGGTCAATCCTAACAATGATAAATCAAAAATACAAGGTCGACTCTATTCTGTGCAATGATTCAATGTTTGTATTATTAAACCCTGAAACATGATTTAGTTCATGCTGTATACACTGTATATTTGGGCATATGTCTAGCTGATGTGTTTTGCTTTAGTTACTTGCATACATTGAATGAAGTAATGGTTAGAGATTAATAAACTCTGCACAGTGGAAATTGTAGCATTAATTTTGCCCCCATTGTAAGTGAACTCTCTGTTAAAGGTTAAATAGATTCAGTCTTATTGAAATCAAGAGTGCAGTTACGGTACTACCAAGACTGGTCACAGTCAGGTAGTGATTCTTGATTTAACATGTTAAATTGATATTTGAAAAAAAAGTCACAGAAGGCAGCCTTACATCTGCCAATTTTCTTTGTATGTTTACTGTTCCTTGAAGGTTTTCTCAAGTGTAGGACATACAGTTTACTGTATGGCATGGTGTAGCTGTTTTTTTTCACATGTGACTTGACCTAACTCTGAGATGCTCATTGAGATTATTGCAATGTATTGTTTAATCCTGGGTTCTGTTTTGTTTGTTTCTTCTCAGAATTTACTGCCCACAGCAACTCCGCAGGAGGCACAACAGTGGCTTTTAAGAAACCGCTTCTCCCCCTTCTGTCGGCTCTTTACCAACTTCTCAGGTAAAATGCCTCTTGAATACAGAATTGTTACCATTTATACACCTATTTATTTTAGTATAGTGTCACGAGTGTGACGAGCCAAGAATTGAGAGGAAATAAAGCCCTTTCAGTCATGCACCTTGTTACCTAAACGTGATGTTTCCATGTTGGTCTCATGAATGAATAAGTGCCTGAGTCACACCTACTGTACATCAAGGTCACGACAATTGGACCTTTTAACATTTCTGTATGACTTATCATGACACAAGACTGAATTCAGTGGTCAAACAGATTAACATAAAGGCCACAGTGGCATGAGGTAAAACATGCAGAGAGAGAAATTAAATGCCCTTTGTACATTTGTGCACAGCACTAACAAAGAAAAGATCACTTAATTATCATCTGTTAAGCACTGTTTAACAAACAATTGTCTGTTTTAAGTTGCTATGGATGATTTTCTCCCTCATGGCAGTGATTTAAAAAAAGAAAAAACTAAACATTTGTACAATTACATTAATATAAAGACTTGCATTCACTCCCTCACTTTTAGATTTTCACTCAGACTACATAAATGAATAAATAAATATCTAGCTTTACCGTTACCAAGTTACACATTCACATGTATGTAAAGGGCTATAGACATTGGCATATGAGGAGTATGCAGGGTGAGAAAACAGATGGAAGAGTTCTACGTTATAAAAGTAAGGTTTTGTTTTTGTGGGCCAGGGGGAGACCTGTTGAAGCTGACCAGGGAGGATGTCATTCAGATCTGTGGGCCAGCTGATGGTATAAGACTCTTCAATGCACTGAAGGGACGGTGGGTGTTCTTCAATTGACTCTCATCTTACAATATGTCTTTTTCCTAATGTATTAATAAAGGTCTCATACTTTTATGGACATTTTGTCACGTTCCTCTGTGTGGATGCTGCTTACAGGGTGGTACGGCCGAGGCTGACCATCTACGTTTGCCAGGAGTCTCAGCAGGCACGGGAACACCAGCCGAAACATGAAAATGGAGAAGCCGCCGCCAACACATTCTTTGGTCAGTGCATGTTAATGGTTCATCCATGTTTGTTATGCCAAAATACATAAATTAAACGTTGAATTCGGGGCAGCATACCTTAGAGTTGAGCTAGAAGGCACTGTCAGGTACATGACATAATCCTAGTGTCGCTGCATCATAACATCAAACACTGGATTGAAAAAAGAAAAGGTGCAATCCTCAAATACATTAAATATTTTTGACAATATCTTTGCTTATATGCAGCTGTTGCTTTAGTTGTTTTTTGTACTGCACCCATCTTGTCATCACTTGACAGAGAAACTGTGATGTATTTACTTTAATTTCCTGTTGGTGACATTTGAAATAATACTTTTTGGGAAATAAACTTATTAGCTTTCTTCCTGAGAGGTAAATAAGAAGATTGATACCATTCTTACATCTGCGCCTGGCTCAGGAAGAATTCCTCCTGTAAAACTGCAACTTGACATTTTTGTATAGGTTAAGCAACCAAGATGTAATGTGTTAATTAGTGAACTGGTAGGAGGATTTTGTGACCTTGAAACAGAGCCTCGCTAACTGTTTCCCCCTGTTTCCAGGGTTTTAGCTAAGCTAACTGGCTGCTGACTGTAGCTTCATATTTACAATCCAGACATGACAATTATATCAGCCTTCTCATCTAACTCTCATCAAGAAACAAATAAGTGTATTTTCCAAAATGTCAAAATATTTCTTCAAGTTTACATTACCGTATCTCTAGGCACTATTCTTTTGGTTCTGCTGTGGTAGCTGCTGCTCATGCCTACTTCCCTGTTTTTATATTTATGTCAAACAAGTAAAATGTGTCCCTTGCTGTGCACAGAAGGACTCTCTCTGTTTATACAAAGTAAATTTTGAATATGGTATATACAGTGGTTAAAATATCCCTATAAACACACACATATGACACATACGGATTTTACTCTTTTTGTGTTTTTTTATACCTGTTTTGTTCTTGTAGTATATCACGCAATTTACCTGGAGGAACTCACATCTGCTGAGCTGACAGAGAAGATCGCTCAGCTCTTCAACATTTCATCCAGACAGATAAATCAGATCTTTAAACAGGGTCCCACTGGCATCCATGTACTGGTTAGTGATGAGGTAAGATTTTTTTTCCCCCCTATAATTCCACTGCTTCACCAAGTCTACACTTTCAAATCAAAGATGATGCAAATCCAATAGAGACTAGTTGTCATTACATGCTAGTAAACATCTGTAGCTGGTTTCTCTCCTGCATCAAACATTTATTCTCTTTTTACCAGATGATCCAGAACTTCCAAGATGAAGTATGTTTTGTTTTGGACACAATGAAAGGTATTTGAGTGTGGCATTAATAAATGATGATTTAACTGTTTCTATATTTAACATTGAGCCTTGATCAACTTTATCATTGCTAGTTTATTTATAACACTCTTCCCTGCTATGTTTTTCTTTTCTTTCCAGATGACACAAATGATGGCTACCACATCATCTTGAAGTGAATACTGTGTAGGAGAATGGCGTTGCTCTCTTCGTTAGGCCCGATCCAGTCATCCCCTCTAGAACTTCATACTCCTTGCTGTTCCTGGAATATGTGGAGATGCCCCAAGAAACCTCTTGTGGCTGCTAGGAGGAGTATGTGACTGATAAACCTGGCCCTCTATACCATGCTGTCTTACTTTTGAGGGAGTGACAGTTACCACAGTGAGGTGACGATCTCCTTCTTGCCCTGCCGTTGTCTCCTTTAAATGGTTGCATTTTTCCTCTGTCGCTTATGTCTCATGAACGAGTTTAGTGGCACTACAGCTGCTATCACTGTTTATTTGTTAGCTGAGTATCTGGTGTGCCAAGGCTCTGCGCTTCAGAAATAAAGTTTAGTTTGTTGTCTCTTTAAAAACCAACAACCAAAAAAGGTGGGGGGAAAAGTGACGACAAAAAAGTGACTCTGACAGTACTTGACTTTCAGTCTGCAATGCAGCATGATATCTCGTCTTCATGCTAGGCTGCCTTACCGGGATCCACTTAAGCCAGTCTGCAAGACACATGGTATAACTAACACAATCGCACAGTCACATCAAAGAACCCCAAGAGGCGGCATCAAAAATCAGCAATCAGGACATCAAGGGCAACTCTTCCATCCAGCTGTTATCAATAACATCTGTGATTCCTTTAAACCCAAACAGAGTCAGTCTTTTCACTGGTTTGAACAGTTAATTTTTCCTTTGTTTCAGACTCCCAACACTGTTTGGTCCTCACAGTTAGTGTAGATTGCATACTGGAACTCGTGGTTGTTACTTATGAGTCTTGAATGATGATGAAACACTGCCTATGTTAGTGATCACAGTGACAACACCAGCAAACCATCTTTGGTTCATGTACTGCATTTCCCATCAGTTCATTTAGCATGTCATTATGTTTATTTTGGCGATTTTCCAACATTATTTGTAAATAGATCATTATTTTAAAATGTTTTCACAAGAAATCGTGTGTCATGTTGGCAGTTTAAAAAAAAAAAAAAATCTTTTGAACATATCATAGTCTCTTCATCATTGTTTATGGATGTTACCACTTCCAAATACTACTACATGTAAAGGGCTGCTGGACACACCAGAGCTGTATGTGAAAAGATATAATTAGTTTGTGTTCACTCCATTGTACTGCTTACATGAAACTGATAGCTTGACATTTTAGATCTTTGCCACATCTCATCAGCATTATTAAAATACTTACCCATGTACTGGCTGCCATCTGTTGTCTCTCCTTGATACTCTTTGTACAAATAAAATAAATGTGGTTTTGTTTTTTAACAATATCTTACCAAATGATTTTATTCATATTATTAAAACAGCTTTCCCTTTGATGGACGAATGTGCAGTGTGAATGTGGCTTATTACATTCGTTTTGTTGCTGTAGAGACTAGCTTTGACAAGACAATAATATATACTGTAAATGAGTTTGTATTAAGATGTAGGTTTATGTTAAATTCTGAAATTGTGCACGTCTGTTTCTGCACAACATGAACAAAGAAAAAATAAATCACTTCATTTCCCAGCATGCTCCGGCGTAGGGCATGCCGGTGATGTCACAATAAGTATATATACGGCTACAGGGAAGAACTTCTTCCTCCATTGTTACATTGTAACAAACGGGGCCGGGGCGAAACGGGGAGAAAAGGCGACTTCTCGTTAGTTCGTTTGCAACATTTTGACACCAATCGGGGGGGGGAAAGGCCAATCCGCATTAATACGAGAAGACAGCGAAGTAAGCACCGCCGACCGAACCCGCCCCGGTGAGAAAAAGGATAAACCAACACAGATGTCAGCGGATTTCTCCATCGCAGTCATTTCAAGGCTTACATCAGGAAGATAAGGCACTCGGTTACATTTATTCATGTTGCACCGAAAATGTTGGGGAATAAATCGCAGTTAATCATATGACGCCCCTCTTTCTGCAGTCTGTCTTTTAAAATAGATAGGCATGCAACATTTAAACCAAACCCGCAGGTCTAATAGACAGCTCCTGCTTTCTCTGTGATCCTTCAGTGTGCAGAACAATGAGCATGGAACCTAAATAGCCTCATATAGTCAGATATAAGTGTTGCAAATTGACAGTCACGCCAGCTTTCAGCCAGATCACTTGGGGTTACCATTGCTCCGCGGTTGCAGTCTGGATACTCGGTTCAGGAATACCGGTTCTGGCACAAAAAGAGCATCTCATAGGGCGTTAAAAGATTGATGTGCAGCTCACATTAGAAAAGGGAAAAGACCTACGAGTTGGTTGGAATAAGGGTCTCTGTTTCTGCTCCAGGTAAGAGGTTTTAGTATTTCATTAACCGGTCGGTTTGCCATTGTGTGTGTCTTTATGTGTGTGTAAAAAAATGGGGATAGACAGGGCGGTCGAGTCTTTGCCTGTCAGACTGATCATATCCAGCCTCCCCCAACAGTCTGTTCAGTTGCTGCATGTGCACAGTTAAACAAATACAATCACCCAACAGTGCATGTCCCTGAAGGTAAATAGCATTAAGTCACAGTGGTCTGTAAGCATACTTTAGGCTGCCACTGTCCAACTAAGTCCTTAAAGGAACAGGAGGGTGAGTCTGGTTCCCATAAGGGAAATCAGCCAGCTATCAAAATTCCGCCTTTGCCCTATTTACATTGGCATCCCAGGTGGAAGATGCAGTTTACAATGATGCTAGAACCACTCAAGCATCTTTACTTGACCTGTGTTCGTCACAGCCTCTTCAGGAGTGTTAAATTGGCTTAAAAACCTCAATTCAAAGAGGAACATCCACATTAACACTGAATTGATGTGCTGTTCAGACAACTACATTATCCCCCTGAGCATGAAGACGTGAACTGATTAGTTTCACACTCTGGGCTCATGATTTATGTTTGAGACATTAAATTATTGCATCCAGTTTTAGGACTTCCTCACAGAAAATGTCCTCATATCCCAGTAAAATCACTGTGGCTGCAGCAGTTGTTTCATTATTCACTATACACAGAGCAGCTCCAGGATTTGTCTCTATATGACATCATCACTACATCATCTCTTTATTTAGCAAAAGGACAAACTACACTGTACAATAATATAGAAATGTACATATTAGTTCTATTTAGGGGCTGGATTTTGCCTTTGAGAAGTTTCATAATGGCTCATTTGGAGATGTCCTATTTAGGAAAGGAGATACAGCATGTTGCTGTCAGTAGCATGTGACATGTTAACCCAGGCCCAGTTAAAAATTTGCCTCATACAGATAGTAGAGTTGCATAGTAAACTATTAATTACCTTTGGAAATAGGGTAACTTATTCATAGGTAATACTAATAAAATATGCTTAAGGTACAGTTTTGTACACGGACACACTGTCTTTCTGGAATATCATCACAAGTATTCATGTATTTGTATTGTGTTTAAAAAATATAAAACTTTGTAAGATGCACTTTGACCACAGACCTACAAGGCATAACATAATATAACCTAAGCTCCTTTCATTCACCTTGTTCGACCTCTCCTGCTGATGTGATTGATCAGCTTTAGCTTTCAGATTCACTCATATTGATCCCCCTCCCCTGCACTGTTTATAGCAGAATTAACAGAATGAAAGAGTGAGAAGCCACAGAGATCATTTGCTTCAAGGCTGTTCATATTAAACCGTGCTTGCCTAGTTGCTATGGTGATGTTTCCAGACTCGATGATTTCAAAGTAGGATTTCATGTGAGCTTGGTGGGGGGGCACAGAGAGAGGAAATGATGGAGCTGGAATACAGATGAAAGGAGACAGGAGCAAACAGCTGATGTCACCTTTTTGTTTCTGTGTCGTTGTTGAGAACTGACCTGACACTGGAACAGTTTGATACATATGATCCGGTTCAGTTCCTGAAGAATATTTCTAAGGTGTTCAATTAGTAAACAAATATTATTATTTACTCTGTCTTTCATTAATACATTAATCATTGTTTTTGCAAATTTCCACAAAAGAATCCACTTTCTCACATCTTTTGCTCCGCATTGACTGGTGCCTAGTCTCTTGTCTGTGGCTCGACATGCTGCTCTGTGATCCTCAGACACCGAGTTTCCATGGAGGCAGGTTCGTCCCTCAGTCTCAAACGAAGATATGAAGAGGTGGACAACAGCTCTCCATTCTCTACACCCAAGGACTCTGACGATGACATCTCCAGCAGTGACAGCGCTGACAGCTGTGACAGCCTTAACCCCCCATCAAGCACTGCATTTACCCGTAAGGAACAACAGGAGACACACGTTAAAGGCAATACACTCTAAAACCCACTCAAACAGTTAATAAGCAAAAGCATTTAATTACTCATATATAACATTGCATTCCAAATCTCTCCCCTTCTTGCCACTTCAGCCACCTCCATCCTCCGACAGCACAAGCCGTCACCAGGGGGGAAACGGGTGCGTTTTGATGTGGTGACAGTGTATTACTTCCCCCGGCGGCAGGGATTCACCAGCGTGCCCAGCCAAGGGGGCAGCTCCCTGGGCATGGCACGTCACCACTCCTCCATCAGACACTACACACTGGGCGAGTTTGCCCGAGAACAGGAAACGAGTCACCGACACACTTTACGCCAGCATCTACGCCAAGAGAAGCTCAATGCCCGCAAGATGAAGGTAGGAGTGTCTGGATCAGTGGATTAAAGGGATGAGTTGAAGTATATCATCTTGTGTTCCAAGGTGCCTTGTTTTGGGTCAAGCATAAAAATATGTTGTGCACCCTTGGTTAATTTGAGTTGACATTTAGAATATAGTTAAAAAAAAAAGATGATTTCTCAATTCGCAGTAGTAAAAAGTAACATTTACAAAGTGCAAAGTACATTTACTTTTCATTTTATGCTACTTTATACATCTATTCCACTACAGTCCAAAGGGAAAATGTTGTACTTTTTACTCCATTCAGTTTATTTGACATCTGAAGTTACTGTTTTTTTTTTTTCAGATTAAGATTTTTACATTACCAAGTCTTTTTCACTTGTGGCCAATTACAAAAAACTGTGTGTAGTTGGGGCCCCTTGTCACATTTCATATGCCTATGAGTTAGCAGGTCCACTAAAGACTTCTCAAATGGTTTTATTTAAATAATTGTTTGAGGCTCAAAGAAGTAAAATGGTCAAATATTCATCAGAAAATAAATTAATACCTATGTGTGGAGCAGAACGTTTATTTCATCCCATTACTCATCTCATGACCCCCCAGATTTATCCTGTGAGAGGGCGCAACTCCAGTTACAGTACAATTGAAAAAAAAAATTGAAACAATGTATGTATTAATAATATGTCAGTTACCGGGGCCAATTTTCTGCAGAACGTTTGGTGATAATACTTGTTTATTTTTTCTTAAGTTGGGTTTTGATTGCAGGGCTTTTACTTTTAATGAAGTATTTTTACATTGTTGTATTGGTACTTTTGCTTAAAAAAGGATCTGAGTGCTTTCCCAACATTGTCCATTTAAAAGTTGTAGAATGAAATGATTGAGCTACAGATACAGCTGTATTTGATCAGTGTTTAGGATGATTATTATGTACTTGAGCTTTAAATGGGGAATCTGTCTCTTATTGTCTGCAGCTCACAGCTACACTAACTGTCATCCACAGCTGACAAGGAACGGCACAGTGGAGTGCGCCCAGGCAGACCTGCTTACTCTGGAGGATGTATCGGATGAGGACCTCGATGTGGACGGGGTGGAGGTGGATGATTGTTTCTTCCTTCAGCCGCTGCCCACAAAGCGTCGTCGAGCCCTCCTGCGAGCCTCGGGCATCGCCCGCATAGATGCCAGGGAGAAAGCTGAACTCAGAGCTATCCGCCTCTCGCGTGAGGAATGCGGCTGCGACTGCCGCTTATATTGTGACCCTCGCCACTGCGGCTGCAGCCAGGCTGGTATTAAGTGCCAGGTAAGGGTTGCTGGCCTCTCTGTGTACATGTGCAGAAAGAACAGTGTGCAGTTCACTGTGCAGTTTGCTGAGACTCGGATGAGTCTGTCTTCACTGCTCAATAAAATGTGTGCTGTTTACCAAACATGAATCATTTTTAATTTGAAGTCATATGTGCAATTTAAGTCTTTTGACACTGACAGTAGGGAAAGCACAGGTGGAAATAATACAGTTGTCATAGCCAAATTCCAATTAGCTGCCTCAGTTTCAGGGTCCTTGTATTGTGATATTGGGTGTATTCCTACTAAAACAAGTCAAAATGTCTGCTGTGAAAAGGCCTATTCATTTCATTTTAAGCAAATATTTGGTGGCCTGTGGAATGTCAACCACAGTTCAATTCAGTATCTAAGGCAGCAATAAACATGTTCAGGTATTCCAGTGAAACTATCCCTATTGTTTGAAAATATGATATAGATTCATTGTGTTCCTGCAGCACTTCTGCTGTTTTATTCTGCTAGCTGGCACTTGAAAACGGTCTCTGTCTTTGTCTTCCATTTGTTGAAATCCAGTGTCCCAGTGTAGGTACTGTATTTTCTAGTAACTCCTTTAATCTCATTTCAATTTACTGAAATTAAAGACGATAAACAAAATTGTCAAAGCATATTGATGCATTCAGAATATTTCTGCATATGTTCATGTGCATGTTGTTCCATGGTTCCCATGTACAAATAGAATTTAAAGTTATAATTTAATGTTTGTTTTAAAAGAAACTGTATAAACATTAAAGGCTGTATCTCGAGCTACAGTGATTAGTCGAGTAGTTAGTTTAACAGAAAATGAATTGGCAACTATTTTGATAATAAATTACTTCAATAGTTTAAATGTTCTAATGTTCCAGTTTCTCAAAAGTGGATGTGAGGATTTCCTGCTTTTACCTTTTACATCTTATATTTTGGGTTTTTGGTCAGACAAAACAAGACGTGATGTCTGCATCTAGGATTGATTTATGGTTAATAGAAAAAATATGAATCAACATTGAAGGTAATTTTTAATTGCAGCACTAATACTGTCAATGTTATAGGTTAGAAATTGCAATGTTAAACATTATGAATTATCTTTCTCTTTTTTGGTTATATTTTCATTTCATTTTAGTTTTAGGTGGAAGTACAACTCTATCTCTACTTGACGTATTACACAGTAACCAGATATTGTCTTGGTTGCCATTATTTTAGTGATGTACTTATCTTGGCATGTACTGCGTCATCTGTCTTTGTACTTTGCGCAATGGTGAACTCGCATATAACTTAAATAATACTCGTGTAAATGAGTCGGCAAAATCCATGTGTCTAAACTTTCCTGTTGAAACAGAAATTACCACTGCTTTCATCCCCAGGTGGATCGAATGTCATTCCCATGTGGCTGCTCTAGGGATGGTTGCGGCAATGGAGCAGGCCGCATCGAGTTCAACCCTCTACGTGTCAGAACTCACTACCTGCACACCATCATGAAGCTGGACCTGGAGAAGAGGAGGATGCTTATACAAGGGTCTGGGGACCAGTATGCTGAATCTGACCAGTTGTCCTCCCCCTCCTCCACTTGCCCCACTTCTCCGGACCTATCCTCAGCCACTGGCCTGGATTCTGAGCTGGAGGAGAGTGAGGTGCAGACAGTGGTGGAAGTTCAAGATCTCCTGGCAGAGCAGGACATTCTGGAGCGTGAGAATGAGACAGCTGTGTTGCACCTGCAGAGTGCAGAGGAGCAGGAGAGGAGGGAGAGGGAGGAGGCAGAAGGGGAAGCAGTGCAGCAGGAGCTGGGCACAGGAGGTCTGACAGAGCAACCTCTCTGCCTCATGCCCAGTGCCTTGGGAGGGGAGCTGCCCGAACAGGCTGAGGTGTCAGGTGTGGAGCAGGTCCTACTGCAGGGGCCGTTCCCCACGGGGGCCACGGTGCTGTGCATCACTGATAACCAAGAGGAGAGCCCCTCTGACCTCCTCAAAGACTCCACTTCTCTGCTCTACTATCAGCTCAGTCCCATAGAGCCTGAATCCTTTGAGAACCTGCCTAGAGCAGAAGAGGCTGAACAGGAGGAGCGGTTGGTGAGAGAACAAGATTCAAGAGGAGGCGAGTGTGTGGAGACAAAACAAGAAGGAGGAGAGGAGAGGAAGGATGATAAGCCTGAAGAGATCACCGGCAGGCAGAATTTGGGCAAGTGTTTGACCGATGTAATTCTGTGCTCAGAGGAACGTGTGGAAGTAGTGAAGGAGAGGCCCTTGAGTCTCCAGCAGAGTCTCCCTGAAGAGCACTGCCAACGGGCGTCCCGCTTGGAGGGAGAAGGAGATCCACCGCCTCCTGAAGTCTAGTTTTAGCTTCTCTGCAGATATTTTGCACAATAGCTTCATCTAAGATGAAAAAATTACACATTTCACATTTATCACTGCTATAATCAAGAATGATTACAGGTTGCAATCTCTTGAAGTTGAATTATGTGGAGAATAAGCTTGACTATTACAATACATGAGTGGGGGGAGGGTGGGGGGTGCTGAAAGCACATACTGATCACTCCCCAGAAGTAATATGGATGCAGTTACAAGGCAACATTGTATGTAATTCTGTTGGGGGTGATGAATGCGGCCTTAATGGGAAAACGTAAAAACACTTGCGAGTAGAAGTCATTTGTCGATGAGAGAGTACAGCAAGTAGTGCTTTGTTAATTTCCAACGCAGCAAACAGAAAACACAAAGTGTGAATGCTGACAAAAGCCTTTTGTTTGGTGATGTATTAAGTTATCAAAACTAAACACAAATTGTTTTGCAGTGCGCAAGAAGCTGGTGTGTTAAGATACTTACTGGCTCACTTTCCATTACAGCAAACATGTGCTGTAGTCAAGCCAAATGACGGCCTCTGATAGTATCTTCCGCTGAAAATAGACCTAATAATCCTGGAAATACTTGTTTTTGTGTACTGTATATGCATTTGCAAAGTGCAAGACATAGATGGGGTTGCTGCTTTTTTGATCTGTATGCACATTGTGAACTGAGGGCAGCGAGTGTTGGGGCTCTGCTGTTATGAAGGTAAACCAACACTGAGCAGCAGACTAGCACTGGCCTTAGTTGTTGCTCTTGCTCACTAGGGCTGCTTGTGCAAATGCAATCAATTTGTCAACAAAAACCTAGTTTACCTGTAGTTACAATGCCTATGATATTACTTATTATTTCTTTGAGTAATGTGTTTTTTGTGAATTAGATGCTGTTGGTTTGAAGTCCTCACAGTGGGGGGGGGGGGGGGGGGGGGGGGGGAGGAAAGGAAATGTTATTTCCTTCATACTGCTACACTGTAACACCATGTAGTCAGTCATGTCATGTTGTGATGAAATGCCAGAATAGATCTTCTCACTCATACCATCTTATAATGAGTTATACTGTAAGGAAGAGATGATTCTGTATCAAGTCAAATTTCATATGAAGAAAAGAGCATTTAAAGAGTCAAAGAAAATAACAGCCTGTGCTGTTGAAAGTAAAATGATGTGATGTTACTAATTTATGAAACACATTGACAACAACCTGAATTTGTAGATGTTATGTTCAATCTGTACAGTATGTGTGTATGTATGTATGATACTTCACATATGTGTGTCTATGCGAGAGAGAAAGTCATGCACGCATCTGTGTGTGCATGTACATGTGTATGTACTGTACTATGAAACGGGAGGGGGGTATATTAGTGAGGGTCATATTTTATTCCTGAAAGGTGCTGATGTTACAGATTTAACATTCACTGATTTCTCCCAACCATCATGAGAAATGTGATTTCAAGGAGATGTTTCTCGATGACTGATGTAAGACTTAAAAATTGTTGGAGAGCCTCTCATAGGACGCAATAGCTACTGCACTGCAAATCATTGACGTGGCGATTCTGGAATGAGGTGTTTTGTCATTGAGTATGTAAATGCAATTGTATAACATTTCTGGTCTTTAAATGTCTTTTTTAAGCTATGTCTCATTAATACTGATCTGCGTAAGTGTGCCGACTCTTCTTACACAAAATCAGTCCTTTGTTTTGTTGCCTAAAATCACAGCTGTTGCTTTTGGTAACACAGGATGTGCTGCTGTGTATGAGATGTCTGATCTATTTCTTTGCCTTTTGTTTGAAATTGTCTTTATATAAATCTGTTTAAGAGTTGCACCAAAGCAGTGGTTCCAAACCTAATTAAATGACGCTTTCATCCATCAGATTTTAACAGCAGTCTCCTGTAGTTATTGTGAGGCTGTGAATTTATTGTGGCCCTTTGTGTTCGCGTGACTTGCCTGACATAGCACCATCTTTGAAGTGATGATGATTACAAGCTGCCTATTGTTGAGCTTTTGTCTTTGGCTTTCTACTAATAGACATAGATTTGGGACCACTGCATCAAATCAACTTCACTACACTATGTGATTGTGTGTTTCTCTGTATGAAAGGGGCGCGTGATTGTTGAAAAGACAGATATGTTTAGACTTCATCTAAAAGCTGTGAGAACCACTCTCATGCTAACTGTTGCCTAAAATGGACAAAAAGGTTTTTATACAAAAATAAAAACAATAAAACACTCATTTTAAAATGGATAACATTTTATGTGTGTTGTGTTGATTTTAGTTAGTATATATATTTATTTCACATAAAAAAAGATGTTATACTGCCATTGGTGACCTTGATTTGGCTAGGTTAGTAACACTCAGAGGTTATATTCTGTCCGTCTTCAGGGTATAATATGTAGAATTTATTCATAAAGCTTAACTCCCATGATGTTGATCCATTTTGTGCTTTTACTCAATACTATCTTTGAATGTCATATTTTCCCAAAGACATTTGTTCCAATTCAGTTATCTTTAATGTATTACATTGTTTCTAATTTATATATATATATATATAGAATAATTATTTTACTTAGTATTTATCTGTTTGTTTTGTCATCACAATTATTTAATGCAAACTGATGTAACTGATGAACTCGAAATCTGTACATTATGTGTTGTCACTCTAAGGGGAGAAGTATGGAGAAGCAAAAAGGAGAAAATATGAGCCCTTTGTCCTCATTCAGACACTGGAGGTCATAACAAAGACTGCCTGCTGGGTGCAGTACAATTGATGACCATTAGATGGCAGCATAAAGTCAGCATGTTCCTGCCAAGTACAACCTCTACATGCAGATACTGCATCCATGTCATGTATAGCCCCTTTTCCACTGCAGAGTACCAGCTCGACTTGTTTGGTTTTCCATTGTAGAAATGTTGTATCTGTACCTGCTTCCAGGTACTTTTTGTCGTATCACCTCCGTCGAAGTTCCAAGCGAGCTGAGGCGATACTAAAATGTGACGTAAAAGCAGACTGCTGATTGGTCAGAGAGAATCGTCACTATTCACTGCATCATCATTGCGCGCGCCAGACAGAGGCCAGCAACAGTTTTTTGTCAATTGTCGTACTTTATTTCATCACTAAATCCACTTCTGAGAAGTTTTGAGGTGAGAAATCAACTGTGTAGATTTTAAATATTGACAGTTTTACGAGAAGTGATGGCGGAACAAAAATGTGCTTGAAGGTTTTCGGAGTTGAGGAGCTCCGCAAGTGACGGTTGTCATACCGCTTATTTGTCTTTGCATTCTGAGCAATGTTGAAACATTTTAGCTTAAATAAAAAGACAGCTGTTTGTGGGGCGCTGGTATGTGTGTCGCATTGAAAATTACGTCGCTATGATGACCAGCTACATTGAGGGATACTATCTAGGTTCTATCTGTTAAGTTCAGTTTTCAGGTCCCCAGGAGTAATATTGTACAATGTGTTCTGTGACTCTGATAGAGCTTTGTCAAGTTTATTACAGAAATCTCCAGTACAAACTGAGAGTGTGGAGTTTTAAAGACATGGGCATTAATCAGGCAGGTAGGGTCTAATGAAGGAGGCTGTTGAGTTTCATGATGGGAAGTGTAGGATCCAGTGTTTTTGGAGCTTCTCAGCCTCTGTTGCTTTGACGTTGACCATTCTGTTTTTAATGTGTCTCTGGCAAGTTTCCCAACTTTGTGGAAGTGCAATATCAAATCGCTGGTGTACTCCTTTAAGCCTGTCCCTTCTGTTGAAGTTACCTGATTAAAATGACCCTACTCTTCTGTGCCAGTCATCATGTGTCTGTTTTGTTATGTGTGCCTTATTCAGTTAGCCAAGAGTCTGAGAGTGGGCCCACACACACACACACACACACACACACACACACACACACAAAAACACCACAAACAGGCAAAAACCCCATGAACAATTGTGGCAGACATCCACAGCACTGAGAACTATGCATCATCTGTTTAACCTTTTCAGCTTCTGGCTTTCTATTGTCCTACCTCTCCAATAGCCGGAAGAACTCAGCCGGGCCTGAAACTTTCATGGCTGATGAACAATCACGAGCCTGTGGAAAGATTTTGAGAGGACATTAACAAAACCTCATAATCAGAAGAGAGAATGGCTCCCACATCTCATCTCAGAGCTTGTTGACAGATATGCAAAATCACCAGCTTTATCTGGGCTTACATTTTAATGTTGTGACTGGACAGAGCCTTGGAGAGCATCTGGGCATTAGGAGTGACATATGTGAAATGGAAAGTTGCCACACCACCTCACTCCAGTCTACCAGTCTGAAAGTGCTGCTCCAGCGCCTGGAAAGAATGCTCCCTCTTTCCCTCTCACTCTGTGACGCCAGTGCTATGGCATCATTAGACCTTCACCGAAACCAATCCCTTTTAAATGGCACTATTCATAAAACCTGCTCATGGTATTTTCACTAGTCTGCCCTGTCCTGCACATGCTGGCTGAACTAAGGTGGGAAATCCAGACCTCCAGACCTCCGACATAAAGGTCATTCTGAATGCAGGAAGAAGGAAACAATGCAGGAAGTAAAGGTCAACACAAAACTTAAGCTGCTCAAACTTTCTCTTTGGGAACCATCAGTGAAATGGCAATATATCTCCAGGAGCTTGTCTATGCATTATACTGAGAGGTATGGCATCCATTGTTAGCGCAAAATATTGAGCTCTTCAATGCCCAAAAAAACTCACACAAGGAGGAAACAACAGAAAATTCATATGAATATATATGAAATATATGTGGCTAGGATAGAATAATATGTGGAATATTCCTATTGTTCTGCCATGTGAGGGGAAGAAGGTTTTTTTTGTCTTGGACAAGTGTAGTTCGGACAGCTGTTCTTCAGCTAAGATGCTTTCAAACCATTTCCATGACATCTTAAGTCCACCATATTAGATGGCCTGTTTCCTCAGTAGAATAGCAGTTCCAAACAAAACTGATCACATCAAGGTAATGCTAGAATATATTCTGTACAAAAGATCCATCATCATTGACACCACTAGAATCTTGGTTTGTGTATGTGTAAATGTTGCATGTGATTCATTTATTAGAGTTGATACTGTAGCCCATGTCTGAAATAGGCTTGAATGTGCAAGAACCCACTGAAGCCCAAACCAGAAGATTTCTATTATGTCATCAAGATCTGAGTATAAGATGGCACTGCCAGAACAAGCAAAAAGGAAACTGAACAACAGCAAAGCATGGCAGCACTGTCGAGTTACTCCCAGCAGAACCAGAAAAACAGCTGTGTGTCCACAGCTGTGTGAAATATGGTGTGTCTTGCTCTGTCTGTTGCTCCCCATGGACATGTCTGTCATCGCTAAATCCAAATTTCCTACCAACAACTATAAAACACCACATACTATGGAAGATACTGAAAAAAAACCCAGCATGTACAGTACTTTCTGTTTGTGCATGTTTTACCTGTTCTACATGTTCTTGCTTCCTTTCACTCCTGTAATAAAAACCATCCCATTAGCTAAGCAACTGGCTGTGTGCCCAGCTTTCCTCGTGGTGGAAGTTTGAATATCTATATGCTTACATAGTCTCTTAACAACAACCAGTGGGTAACCTCATGTGAGTGTTTTCTCTTATCCTGTGGAGAGGAAAGAGGTGACTTCATATCAGCAGTATCTGGAGAAAGAGGAATCCGCATCTCATGCCTGACCCTTGGACCTCTGAGGATTCATGTAAACAACTAGACAATAATCTTTACAAAATGTCTGTGGTTAATTGGTGGAAGTTGTGTCATTTTGGTTGTTGACTGTCTTTACTTGTTTGAGGTTTTCTTCATGATTACTTAACTTTTTTTAGGTGTCAACTGAATAGTTACAGCGGATGACGTCAACGGGACAAAATGTTCAGGGACTGATAGATGAATGAGGATAACCCTCTGGTGTGGTAATATTATGTCATTAAAATAATGTTGCAATATTACTTGACTATGCAGTTCATGCTCTCGTTCCCCAAACCACTGGCGCTAGGGATGGAAATGTTGGTTTGTTGGTCCACTGTTTTCTTGTTCTTGTTCTTGTTTTGTCAATAACTTTTAGTCCTTAAGTTCATTATAGTTTTCACTTATCCAGAAAAAAATATCTTTGTATCTACTGTATGAATTGCCACATAATTTGGTACAGACGTTCATGGTTCCCGACAATTTATTGCAATAACTTTGGTGATTCCTCTAGCTCCACCATGAGACATTTGTGGTTTTAATGAAAATGTCTCAACAATTATTGGATGGGTTGCCATGAAATTTGGTACGGACATTTCTGTTCCTCTCAGGATCTATTGTACTAACTTTGGTGATCTTCTTATGTCTCATTTAGGTAAACATTTTACATTTTACATGTCCAATATTTTGGTTCAATGTTACAATGCTGATGTTAGCATTTAGCTCAAAACACTGCTGTGCTTGAGTACCATCTCACACAGCTGCTTGTGAATGTGGTATACTCTTTTTCCATCTTCACGAATGGAAGTCTGGGAATGAAAAATAAACTGTTTCAACTAATGTGTCTCTGTCTAAATGCACTTACACTTTATACTCTAACAATGGTGTTATAGCTCTGTTTTGCTCTTGATCCTGATGCTGCTGTCGCCTTGGGCTCACATGATCAATAGTATGTTCATGTAGGTCAGACTTTGTGTTGTAAAAGTGGTGGGAATAAGAGAGATATGTGTTTTTGCAAATCTGGGAAAGGATGTAGAATCACTTCCTGTCCATGTGCCCTATTCCCTAATGGACAATTAAGTGAATCATGTAAAAGTCCCTACTTGTGGCAAATGTCTAACCCCCATCAGGGCAGGCAAGTTATTCCTTAACCTTAATTAATACCATATTCCTGCAGTACCTTTTCTGTTTCTCTCTTGCTTGCACAAAACTGGCAGTGATAGTCATTCCCAGCAGGGGACAGGCTGTGCTGACATTTATAGTAGTTCAGTTTTCAGTAGCGGTCTTGTACATTGATTGTTTTATCCAAATGACCTAATTTCCTGTAACAACAGGGTTCGCTGGTCTACCTGTAAAAACAATGCTTTGACTTGTGGGTAAGAGTTTCCATGCTGTGTGTGTGCTGGGCTGCGATTTCCCCCCCTCTCATCGCCTTTGGTGTCATGGAAACAGAAGTGTGTGTGCGTGTTTAGGGAAGGGATGTTGGAGGGTGGAGGGCGCTTTCCATTTGTGGAATAATCTGAAAGGGTGGGGTTTATACAGGAAACGTA